ATGTATATTCCATCCTCTCTACGAAGATCTTTACAATAAGAAATCGGAACTCCATCCACCACTCGGAATTAGAATAAAATCTGCAATATCAAGATATAGCTCCTACTCAACTTTTCTCCTCTCCTCCTTGGCAAATGGTAAAGCCAGAGGTAGACCTGACATTAACCAAACTTAAGAAATCAGATACTAACCAATTAATATACCAACAAGAATACCACCAACTTAGAAACAATTATGACACTTAAAAATCTATATTTACCGATGGATCCAAGGATGGTGGCACAGTTGCTTGTGCCACTGTCATTGGATCCAGAACAATCTCTTCCCGTTTACCTGATAACAGTTCCATATTCACTGCAGAAGCAAACGCCATTTTTACAGCACTTAAATATATCAGTAATCAATCTAAACATAAACAATTCATACTGTTTTCAGATTGTCTTTCATGTCTTCAGGCAATTAAAAATATGTCTTCAAAACATCCACTTTTAATCCAAATTCTTGAGTTATTTAATGATCTTGCTACTGGCCAATATGACATCGTCTTTTGTTGGTTACCAAGCCATGTTGGTATTAAAGGTAACACAATGGCCGATGCTGCTGCAAAAGCAGCCCTCAACAAATCTGTGACACCACTTCTGATCCCATACACTGATTTTAAACCCATGATTCGATCTTACATCCGAGATCTTATGCAACAGAAGTGGGACGCCCAAGTAGGTATCAATAAATTACATGAAATTAAACCAAATATCGGTTACACCTACTTGGGCTGTCAGTCCAGATTTGAAGAGGTCATTATGCGACGATGTCGTATTGGCCACAGCAGATATACGCACGAATATTTATTACAAGGTGAGGATCCTCCGTTTTGTATCCCTTGTGATGAAAGAATCACGGTCAAGCATGTCCTGCTTGACTGTGTTGATTTTTCCATCACAAGGGATAAATATTTCAATGTAAAAACAATTAAGGACCTTTTTAATGATGTTAATTCTCGTTTAATATTATGTTTTTTAAAGGAAATAGAGCTTTTTCATAAATTTTGATGTGTTCAATGTATTGTTTTACAAATTGGTAGTGCGAAATTCATAACTTAGATTGTTAGTGGCTGTACCCTTGAGGGGGATTGAAGTAGCGTAAAATTATTGTCCCCCTAAGAGGGTATGTAAGTCCCAAATCATTCGAAGTATTTTTCTGCACACTAGGCTTTTAAACGTAGTATCTTCGTTATTTTAATCTAAGGCTTAACTGGTACACTGTCGCCAGTGACTGAAGGGATTATATAAATCCTGCCGGGGTCCATGCAGGAAGCAAAAGTACTGTAAGTCCCCATGGTCCCCAGTATGGTGATCTCCCTTCAGTTGCTGACGATTTCTAGCCCATTTTTAAATTGTGATGTTCATTAATGCTTACTGCCTTTTAATATTCTCAACTAGTTTTAAATCAAGTCTGTGATATTCTAGTTATTCTACTGTCCTTCGTTGACAGCTTTTTATTCAGTTTAAATATATGTATCATAAATGTATCATAAATGTACTTTCTCGTCACGATATGGCTGAAATATTGCCCATGTGACGTTAAATAATAACTCACTCACAACTCACTCACATGTTGTCATCCTGTCCTTGTGTCTCTACTAGGTGTTGCCATCTCATTTAGTCATTATATGTTGTCATCCTGTCCCTGTGTCATTACTTGGTATGGCCATCTCATTGTGTCATTACATATTGTCATCATGTCCTTGTGTCATTACTTGGTATGGCCATCTCATTTAGTCATTACATGTTGTCATCCTGTCCTTGTGTCATTACTTGGTATGGCCATCTCATTGTATCATTACATGTTGTCACCCTGTCCTTGTGTTGTTACTTGGTATGGCCATCTCATTTAGTCATTATATGTTGTCATCCTGTCCTTGTGTCATTACTTGGTATGGTCATCTCATTGTGTCATTACATATTGTCATCCTGTCCTTGTGTCATTACTTGGTATGGCCATCTCATTTTATCATTACATGTTGTCATCCTGTCCTTGTGTCTCTACTAGGTGTTGCCATCTCATTTAGTCATTACATGTTGTCATCCTGTCCCTGTGTCATTACTTGGTATGGCCATCTCATTGTGTCATTACATATTGTCATCCTGTCCTTGTGTCGCTACTTGGTATGGCCATCTCATTTAGTCATTACATGTTGTCATCCTGTCCTTGTGTCATTACTTGGTATGGCCATCTCATTGTATCATTACATGTTGTCACCCTGTCCTTGTGTTGTTACTTGGTATGGCCATCTCATTTAGTCATTATATGTTGTCATCCTGTCCTTGTGTCATTACTTGGTATGGTCATCTCATTGTGTCATTACATGTTGTCATCCTGTCCTTGTGTTGTTACTTGGTATGGCCATCTCATTGTGTCATTACATGTTGTCATCCTGTCCTTGTGTCATTACTTGGTATGGTCATCTCATTGTATCATTACATGTTGTCATCCTGTCCTTGTGTCATTACTTGGTATGGCTATCTCATTGTGTCATTACATGTTGTCATCCTGTCCTTGTGTCATTACTTGGTATGGCCATCTCTTTTAGTCATTACATGTTGTCATCCTGTCCTAGTGTCATTACTTGGTATTGTCATGTCATTGTATCTAAATTCCCTAGTACAGCGATGGTCTTCTTTGTTATTGAAGCCCACGTCACAATATTCACAATATTCACTTTACCCAGTAAAAGCTGCCATTGATGTAATCACATCGTAGTGGCTATTATGGTGGTAAAGGTGAATGATCTTAGAGGGGTTTTCCACTTCACTCTTGTACAAAAGCTTATTGTAGACATCTTGAGAATATACTTTCAGCTGGTATTCTGGTGCCAGGTAATCGCTGAAAACAGTCCAAGTATCCCTACCGCTGCATGGCCCAGGCTCTTTACCAATTTCACTAAACAGTCTAACTGCCTCCTGTTTTTGAACATCAGCCCTGTTGGTTCTTGTCAAGGCACTTCTTGTATCCCACACTTTACAAATGGGATCCAGCCGTTGAAATGGCGCAGGACTTTTAGCACAATGGAGAGCAACCGCTATTGCTCTCGCAAAGCATAAATCGTCCTGGTTCTTTATTCTTACTATGCACTTTTTCTGTTCCAAGAAAGTATCCAGGTTTTTGGGACTGTGCTTTGAACGATGGCCTCGTCCTTCGATCCGGACGACCCGGGTCCTCCACATGGAGAAAGTCAATGTCCATGGCTGCATGAATCCTGGCATTGACATTGCTTTGATGTACTTTTTCAACCATACCCATACTATCTTCTCCACGCAAATCGCCCAAACGACGAAATGGTATACGAATGGGCACATTTAATCCTGGATGGTTAAGGCAAGACCAAGCCTGTCGTTATCTTGCCCATTGCCATCGAGTCTTAGTTCTTGAATGATGTTGTCAAAATGCTCTCGAAGTGCCTGCGGTAAATCCTCGAGTCTCTGTTGTTGCAACCAGGCAAGGTTAAATTGCACATTAAAATTTACAGCATTGGCTCTAAATCGTCGAGCCTTTGGCCTGGACACATGCCTTAAAAATAAGGTGGAACACCTCCCCCTCCTAGCTGTTTGGGCTGTCAGTCTACGTCATCCATATGATGAATTAATGCAAGTTCCTCCTCGATTTCTTCCAAATGCTCAAGTAGGGACATATCGTCTTTAACTTCCAGCTCTACTTGATCCAAATGCTGTACCAAGGATAACTCTTCTTCAACCTCTACGGAATGATTGACTAAAAGTTCATCTTCTTCCTGTTTGAGTTGGTGTTCTACTTCCTCAAGATGATGAACTAGAAGCTTGGAATTATCACAATGGCATGGAGCAGGGATATCTACAGGTAGCCATATCTTATCTTTTACCATGCTTGCATGTCTCAGCAAGATCCGCGTGTCAGGACATGTCTACAACTCATACAATGGGCATACGTAAAGCTGTATACTGTACTTTGTTATCAACTTGAAAATGTTAGACAGTTCAGCAGTGTTCTCAGAGCATGATCAACAATGTCAACTGGCTCTTGGAAACAACGTCTTTAAGGTGGCAAAGTTCTGGCATGGAAAGATGAGAATACACATCAAAGAATATAAGCAAGAAAGAGGAGATGGTTTCCTATGAAAAAGGGGGATCACATTAATATTACAGCGCTGGATGGAGCTTGTGTCAAACAAAGCTAGAATTGAAGAAACAATGGAAAGTGGTGGACTATTGAAATGCCATCTAGTAGGAAATATGTATGCAGAAATGGATATTATATACCCTGCACTGGACATACGCAAATGGTATTGGTGTGTAAAGCAAAACGTCGTCAAACCATACAAGTGACTGGGAATCAAGCTGGATGTGGATCAGATGAAGCAGCTGTTAAACTGCTTTATAATCATGCCGGACTTTATGTCTGAACATTTGAACGTTGTGCCCTGCTACATGCAGAAGGATCACATGAACCACTTTGGTTATTTTATGTGTCCAGAATGTAACCCCAACAGTCTCTCCGTATGGGACCCTATTCCTGTGTAACATGTACTTGTGCATTATGTACATAAACTATGTTTTATTTTACTCCTTGTCATGTTTCTTTATTATTCATATATCTATATAGGTGTATATATGACTAGCATTTAGCATTAAAGATTAGGTACTGGTCATACACTTGTGTCCTGGGATACTATTATGCTCAAATATCCAGAGTGATTGAGTTCAAGTCCCTCTCAAATCTACGGTCTGTGGTGCACTCCAGTCTATCATCCATGCCTGGCTGCGACTCCATGCTCAGGTGCCCTCGTATCTGCGCTTCCTCAGGTTGTACTTGATCACATTCTTCTAGCCTGCCAATCTCGGCACTACGAAGCTTGTTCTGTAATCGTGAGATTTCTTGGCACGGGCTGCGGCTCTCGGAAACCTCGTCTGTACTGGCGGACTTGGCCGACCACCAAACACGTGTTTGCGTTAGCTTGACCCAGCTGTGACCCAGGTGGAATGTGATTATGAATACACAGAGCCACAGACACTTGAGGTGCTGCGTCATATTCACGTGATAGTACTGAAGTGAACAACACAGATATATAGAACCGGCGGTAGAGTCGGCAGTGTATAGGGGATCAAGTATGGTGAGCAAAACTTCCTCAGTTGACCTGGTGCTTGAAGCATTAGGAGGTAGAGGACGGTACCAGAAATTTCAGTACTTTGCGAGCAATTTGTCAGTGTTATCAGCGTCGTTCCAGCTCCTCAGCATTGTATTTGTGGGTATGTATATTCATACGTTTAAATGCCTCACTTAACATTCCTATTTTTGGGTGTCATACAATATGGAACATTTAAATACTGAACAACAAAAGTTCCTTGCAGTCACTGTTGCTGGCTGGAATCAATTTCGTGGGTTGTTGTTCGAATCCAGTTGTCTTGTCGAATATTGGTTACGTGTGGCCTGCCACTCCGAGGATGGTTATCTGACTGCATTCGTCTGTTGCCAACGTTGCCATTAACACCAAATGGTGTGTCTGTGGACGTTAAATTGTCTTGCAACATCACGTTGACTCGATCCTGTTCAAGCATACCAATGGCTCGCAGACGCTCATTTTCGGACAGGCGTGACATTTCGTAATGTTGAATAATTGCGTAATTTTGTTGTTTTTTCTGGGTGGTTGTTGTCAACAAGATGCTAAACAATGCATATGGAATCCCGTTAACGCGAATGTTTTTCTACCCATTCTTGGGTAGTGAAATGCATGGGTCTTGCATAAAAGTCAACTTTTGCATGGAATGCATGCTTTTCTGAAGCAGTTGCGTTTTTGTGACTTGATTCCATACATGTACTACACTATTGAAAACCCAACTTTACTTGTTTGAAAACTACACTAAAATATTGGTGCCACAGGAACTTTTGTTCTTATATATTATCAATTTTCAATTTTCATTTAAATACGTTACAGCGACAATTACCAGCACAGTTAATAGACACTCCAATCAAATTCACTTAGACTCGTGTAAGCTCGTTGTTGAGGTTGTTCTCTACATTAACCATATCCCGGTACACTCAGTGTGTTGATAAAATCAGGTGATTAAATATAGAGTTAACCATGAAAACCTTCTGTATATGATAACTCTGCCGACGTTTTTTTTCTGAATTGTTGTTGGACGGGAGGTTACACCCAATGGAATCTGTTTTGCAGGTTAATCGAGACTGGTCATTCTCTGGCGTTGACGTTTTATAATATACCTGGTGTCATCATTGATTTTCAGTCATATAATTATCATCGTTGTTTTGCTTATTGTACCCAAGGGAATCTGCTTCAGCAGATGATCGAGGCTGACTATTCTCTGGCGTTGATTTGTTTTTATAATCACAATTTGAAATAGTACTTTAGTGTTTAGAATCGAGTTATTGCTATTGTTACAATCGTGGTTTCATGTCGCTGATAAAAGGGTGTGAAAACATTCCAATACACAAACATTCGTATTAGATAACGGCCTTTGTCAAAACTATCTAAATTACATGCGATCCTTGGATACTCACTGTGTGAAGTCGAACTGTTGATAAAATCGGCTGATTAAATCAGTTCCTTCACCACTAATACCTTGTATGATTGTTTTATAGTTTTGTTTCTGAATTGTTCATGTTAGCGATTGCACTCGACCACAAATGATGTTTCACTGATTAGGACGGATAATAACTTCCTTCGAATTAAACGCCATGTATAATACCATCGAGGACAACATTAGGTTATACCTTGCATAATTTACCAAATACCTTTAAAATTATTTCAATGTTTTTGTTTTGCAGGTAGACATGTTGCCCATACCTGTAAACAGCCGGTGAATATATCCGATATCTACCGGGTCATTGACAATGACCTCTTTCAGGCCAACAACAGTATCGTGTACTTTGAGAAATGTAACATACGGGTGGAAGCTAATATTTCTGGCAATGTCTCCACCTCCGATTTGTCCTGTATCTATGGATACGAGTATGAGGAAGGGAAAGAGACTTCATTGATGTCTGACGTGAGTTACAGGTTTGGTACTAAAAGTGCAAAAACAATGAAAGATTATAGTTTGATTGGAAATATGTAATATCTCCACACAGAGACAATTAAGTTCATATTTTCTTTAAAACCTTCATCTAAGTTATTCGCGGGTACGGGTGGCCCAGTCGTCTAAGTCGCGCCGCGATTATGTTTCTAGGTTTGTCAGCACCATGCCCGTGTTCGTGGATTTCACCGAAGTGGTAAACATCTGAGACCAGCATCACTTCCGGCTTTCCTGCCACATTAAGCTGACACGCCGTGATATATCTGGAATACTGTTAAAAGCGGCCTTACACCAAACTCACTCACTCACTCACTCACTCATCTAAGTTATTCACTTAATCATTAATCAGCCCCGATACTCCGCAGACTCCGTAACAGTATCAAAGCAAGCAACGTATCACCGTTGCAGTACTACCACTAATATAAGTCTATGTTAAAGAATAGAAGTTACAACAGTCTCAGTGCTACAAACAGACCTTGTAGTGCAAACTGTGGGCGTGGCGGCTGCTCACTGTTATTTTGCCTTCCTGGCCCAATGAAATATGTTACGTCCGATTATTGAGACCGTTTATTCTCTTGCTTTGATGTTTACAGATGGACATAGTATGTGACAGATCACATTTGAGGGGATTTGCACAGACGCTGCTCATCATAGGCCAGGGTATCGGAGCTTTCATCCTCCCCGCCCTCTCGGACCGTTATGGACGCCGCCCTGTTCAACTCGCCGCTCACCTTTGTGTTCTTGCATTAGGCGTGGGCGTCGCCTTCGCCCCTGACTACACTGCATTTCTTGTCATACGAGTGTTCTTGGGAATTGTGCAACAGGTAAATTGATTTTACTACTCTTTATGCCTCCAACCTAAACGATAGAAACTTTGATCTCGAATTACAACTTCTTAAAGAATAACAACCTTTAAGGGCACTAACCGGTACTTTTCTTTATAGTCATCATCTGGTCTGTCTGCCTATCCGTATTTCATTTCCGGTGCATAGCTTGAAAGCCGTCATCGATTATTCAAATATATATTGGTATATTTTATTAAACAGGGGCTGAGATGGTGCCTTTTGCTACTCTGATGGCCGGTGGGATTAGTAATCTTCTGATGACTCTTGTAGCTATTGTTTTAACGCATTACAAGAAAACATCTGAAGATGTGGTATTACTTCAGAAGACATGTGTGCATCCCACAACTCCATATGTATTTTACCTATTTCACAGGGAATTGTTCTGACAAGCATAACAATAAACATTGAGCTCTTCCACTCTCGTCACCGAAAGCTATGTGGACTCTTTGACAGCTTTCTGTGGGCAACTTGCAACTCTTTAATCGCTCTGATCGCCTACTTGATGCAGACCTACTCCTGGAGAACTACACAGCTTGTCTACTGTTCAGTGTCCTTATTGGTCTTTGTCCAGTACTTGTGAGTAAATATCCTTCAGTATGGAACCGACGGCATTATGATTTTGCTCATGTATCCTTGTCCTAGGAAGCATTGTTATTGTACGTCACTGCCTTGTGATTCTCATTGGAGCACTATTACTTTCGGTGGAAACTACTATTGTTGGTAGGGGACATACTAAATCAATAAGCTTTACACATGAATCGTTAATGCCTCAGAGATGTTTCAATTGACCGTATGTGTGAAATGGATATTCAGAAGACTTTGACATGAAACAACCTGATTTAACTTTGTGGGGCGGTCGGGTAGCCTAGTAGTTCAAGCGTTCGCTCATCACGCTGAAGACCCGGGTTCGATTCCCGAAATGGGTACAATGTGTTAAGCCCATATCTGGTGTCCCCCGCCGTGATGTTGCTGGAATATTGCTAAAAGCGGTGTAAGACCAAACGTATTCACTCACTCACTCACTCACTTTACCTTTGTTGTTTACACACATGTACACCAATCCTCCTTTGCCCAGATGCCACATGGAACAGTCATATGTATAAGTATATATATACTGAACCGCAAAAGAAACGTCACTCCAAGTAACATTGCACGAACAGTTGACATTTAATTATTTGTCAATGTTTCTAAAATGTAACATTACCTTGTCCAGAAAAATGATTTGATGATAAGAAAACAAAGCAGATGACAATAAAAACCGATCGTCCAAACGCATCACGGCAACGGCCATGGCAACCCGATGCACGTGAGTTTCGTGCAAATTGAAATGCACATGTGTTCCCCTATTTCTTGCCCTATAAAAATCCACCCAGATCGGATAACATTCATTCGTTATTGAATTGCTACCACATGCGAAGATTGAGAAGAAATCAACGATACCAAGCCCTTGAACGATTTCAAGCTGGACAAACTGCCGGCAAGTAGCCAATGCATTTCAAGTCCACATAAGGACCGTATACAGGCTCCAGCAACGGTACCAGACCACCAACACTACAGATGACCGACCACGTAGTCAAGGGTCACCATCCGACGTCAGGATCGTCAGATTGTGCGACAGCATCTTCAAGATCACTTTGTAATTGCTGCGGAAACTGCTCGACAGACCATGGGGACACCCCAGCGACACATTAGTGCGGACCCCGTGCGTCGACGATTGACGAGCAGACACCGCCACTGTCACAGGCCACATCGAGGACCAATTCTGACACCACGTCATCGCCGGGACCGTCTTCAGTGGGCAACACAGCACCAGCATTGGCGCCACCAGCAGTGGAGAAGAGTCCTCTTCTCAGACCAGAGCCGTTGCTGTATCTCAACAGCAGATGAGAGAGAGAGAGGGAGAGGGAAAGGGAGAGAGAGAAAGAGAGAGAGAGAGAGAGAGAGAGAGAGAGAGAGAGAGAGGAACATTATTCGGATGCTTGTGTTGTCGAGAGAGACTCGTGGGGTGGTCCGAGCATTATGGTGTGGGGTGGAATCGGCCCTGTGGTCTTCCAGGACATCGGTCCAGGGAGGGGCAATGGTGAGACAAGAGGCTTCCTCCAGTAGAATGGCATCAGAACCATGCAGTGGCCTGCCCTCAGTTCCGATTTAAATCCAATTGAGCACTTGTGGGACGAGATTCAAAGACGGCTGAATGACGTCCGAAAAAGGCCAACAACTGCAGCTGAACTGCGTCAGCCGTTCCTCAGAGCGTGGGCCTATGGCATTCATCAACCGCCTTATCCATTCCATGTATCGACGTTACACGGCAGTCATCAATGCACGTGGCGAACACACGAGATACTGACTTGTGATGGCATTTTCTCAGAGACTAGTGTTGTGTTTCACTTTAAGAACATTTGACACTTTAATTTCAACCTTGGTGATCAGTTTTGCCAAGTTTCGTCGTTTTAAGAGCTCTCAAAGTATGTTTACAGTGTTTCTTATATATATATCCATGGTGACGGGTTTTTTTGCTGTTCAGTATATTATATTTACTGTTAAATATATCACAAAGTAACATCTCACGAAATACTGAAAATACCTCTAATTCCTCCCACGCATTACTTAATTACAGCATGATCATCACTATTTTTTTGTTGATAAATAATATATGGTATATACATATATAGTTTAAGAATAAACTATTGAAACATTCTAAAACATTTTATCTATTCTTTGTAGGCAGAAATGTGCCCCATACCTGCAAGCAGCCGGTGAATATATCTGATCTCTACCAGGTCATCGACAATGACTTTTTTCAGGCCAACAACAGTTTTGTCTACTTTGAGAAATGTAAATATTAAATTATAAGGCTTCTCATATTCATTCTGTCGTTCTACCATTTCCAGCATTCTGGACGAATCTCTGTCTTGGTTGATCACCAACAACAAGACCAAGCAGGTCACCAAGAATCTCAAAAAAGCAGCTCGCATCAGCGGTAAAGACTATCAAACTGTTTTGAATGTTTACAAGGACCTACAGAAACAAAAGGAATCTGAGCAGAGCCTCATTGAATCTTTGCTGGAAAGCAGAGACCAGGGTGTCAGTGGGAAAAAGGCCGGTCAGAAAGAGAAGGATAAAACCAAACCATCCTTCCTAGACCTGATGAAAAGAAAACGACTGGCCGCGAGTGTGTTTGTATTGTGGTTTACATGGTACGTCAGCCCTCTTTTCCAATTCCTCAGCCATAATGAATGTGGTTACGGGTATTGTAATACTTGGCTCAAATCAAGAAGAAAATTAACCAATTAAGAAAGAATGTCCCTTCCGGAAATAAACACTTTCGTTGCATTTCAAGTTACTGCAAACAATACAGCTGAGTTGCGTCCTGTCAGAATCTGATAATTGTGTGTTTGAATCATTGTTACTGGTGAATGGTTACTGATGTTGTATAACTTGGCTCGGATCGAGAAAAATCAACAAATGTTGCTATGGCACTGGTTGTCTTATGAACTGGCATATTGCTGACTGCGGAGTAAAGCAACTAGCGGTGCTCTTTTTTTGCGTTGTTGTAATGCTAGTTTATGAAATTTCAGGATAACAGACAGTTTAACAGTGTTTGGTCTCCTCATGACGTCAGATTCCCTCGCCGGTGGAGCTCACCTCAATTTCGTGCTCTTCTCTCTCCTTGAGGCCCCGGCAGTTCTTGTGTTATACTTCATGGTGGACAGGTACGCTCTTTCACTTAACTCATGTGTATCACTTAATTTAACTGAATTATGTACGTTCAGTAAACTTTCAGGTAAAGGAGAATGGATGGCCCAGTGTGTGCAGAGTTCTGGTTCGTTTACCAGATTTACCCTGAAATACATGATTCCAAGTTCACCATTATGATACCCATGCTAATGGGTTTCATCAAAGCGATCAACGTCAAGGAACTGCATCACTTTGAGCGCTTTCCTCAAGCTGACATGACTGAAAATCCCAGCTGTCTCCTACACACATTAATTTTCAGTGATCCATTCATATAATTTTCACTGCTATTTTGCCTGTTATCTGTTTCAGCGGATAATCGAGAAAGGTCATTCTCTGGCTTTGATCTTTTTTATATAATATTAAATAATGCGACTTATATTTCTTGTTATTAATGACGGCATCTGTATCACCTATCCAACATGTTTAAGGGGCCCGAGGACCCGGCGATAGTAGTTGTATGGATGAAGTGGGAACGTGGCCACAGATGTATATGTGCAAAAAGGTTTTAGCTGATCAACAGCCTACTTGACTAATGACAACAAAACGTTTAACAATAAGACAGAGTTAATGAGTGAATTGTTGAATGCCTCAGGCAGCAATAATCTAGCTGTACCACAACGACCCCTAAATAATCGAGTTTGCACCAGACAAACCAGTAACTGTTTATGCGTTTGTTTATTTGTTGTTTAACGCCACACTCAGCAATATTGCAGCTATATGACGGCGGTCTGTAAATAATCGAGTCTTGACAAGACAATCCAGTGGTTTATATCATGAGCATCGATGAACGCATTTGGGATACGATGACATGCATCAACCAAGTAGGCAAGCCCGACCACCCGATCCCTTGAGTCGCCTTTTACGACAAGCATAGTCGCCTTTTACAGCAAGCATGGGTTGCTGAAGACTTATTCTATCCCGAATCTTCAGGGCTCAACCAGTAACTGAACATTTGATCAACATCAACGACATTACGACATGGTGGCACACAATTCGCCTCAATCTACATTTGAACCCAACTCACTTTAACTTCTCATTCTACAAGTATTGAAATGGAGCATATATTTAGAGTGATAATGTAACTCATATTTCCTTACGCTGTAATTATTAATACTACTTTATTATATATGGCAGATATGGTCGTAAGAAAACAATGATGACTCTACATGGCATCGCTGGCATTGCTCTGCTTGTGGCCACAGTCTGCAAATCTGAAGGCGGTAAGTCCTGAAATCAAATATTTATTTATACTCTTTGTAAGATAAAAAGCACTTGCATTCAATCATTCTGCAGGGTAAAACACAAAACATATATTAGTTTTATTTCTCTTTTACCAAGGGGGTACGGGTGGCCCAGCTCACATATTCTGAGTAGAGTTGCGTCCCTTGGGTATGCCAGCACCATACCCGTGCTCGTGGGTTTCGCCAAAGTGGTAAACGTCTGTACCACTGAGGACTTTCCTCTCACATGCAGCTGACACATGGTAATATGACTGAAATACGATCTTCATTAATGTTCATCTTACAAAACTTCGTTCAAGAATTACAGGTCAAACTCAAATGCTTGTCAGGGAAAATCGGAGACTTGGCACATGGACTAGCGATGGTCTTAGTTTCGTTGAGAACAAGGAGGAAAAGAATGTTTTCCTAACTTCCAGCTATACACTGGTTATATAAACACACAATGACATTTAGAAAGTGGTCAAATGAAACAAATGTTCTATGGTCCCATGACTGAAATACTGTCGAAAATGGTGTTAACCCTAAATGATCCTCAGCAACTATAGATTGTAATGCTTTGGTTAGGTAGTTATCAGGGCCGCGCGGTGAGGTCAGCGTTGAATGACATGTCGATCTTGATCGTCTAGCATGCTGGTATTTCGAACAATTTATTACCACATGGTTCCAGGAGGCAGCACATGGTCTGCGATTGCTGTCCAAGTGTTCTCCTGTATCGGGATGTTCGGGGCGTCGGGAGCATGGGCAACGTCTTGCTTTTTCACACCAGAAATGTTTCCAACAAATTTGAGGTCAGTCTCGTTTTAAATGATAACATCAACCCGCAGTACATATACATAAATTTTATTTAAACTCTTCCAATTAATTTATATCGATGTATATAACTTTATCATCAAACACATCCCAACATTGGGAGACTGACACGGTTGTTTCAGGCTCTGCAATTCACTACACTGAGTTTTGTATACATTTGAACTTGTAATGTAGAATTCTAAACTCCTTTTTTATATTTATGTGGTAGACACCTAGGGCATAGTTGTAATAATACAGTAAAAAGGAAATAACTCATTTTAGAAATTTTGGACTTGGGACTTCTTCTGCCTTTGCTCGACTTGGGGGAATGTTGGCTCCATTCGCGAGTCTCCTTGTAAGTATCACCAGTTGCATCGTCAAGTCTCAGTTGTATCATTATTACCATGTGTTGAGTATCAAAGTATCAAACTGCTGAATGCGTATCAAACGCAGTTGCATGATTGAGTGAGTTAAATTATTACGGTTCTGTGCAGATTTTAACACCATTCAAACAATATTCAAGCTGAAGACACCAGATATGGGCTTTACACAACTCGCGATCGGCTACTCCACCGCTCCCCAGTTACATGAATATCTAAAAGCTCTTTTTTTATATCGTGTTATGTCATTTAAGCTGAAATTCAATAACATGTGTATCAGTTTTTCTCAAACAGACAATATTGTCTCCTCTGGTAGCATTTCGTTGGAATTTATCGCCAGAAGGGAGGGAGGTGCTCAGAACATTCGTTCAGTCAGTCAAAGTCCTATACCAATGTCCCTTGGAAGCACATTCAAAACAAATCCTTGATGTAGCCTTCTTATCCTCGCCCTTTAAGTTAACGACGTCTATTCTGATTGGAAAATGGTGTCAAACTGTCATGTGTGAATGAATGTATGTAGCTTCAATTGAATATGATATGAACGGTAGCCAATCTTTCTATCAAACAAGCAGTTACTCCAGCCAGTGTGTTGAACGATTATGTGAAATGATGTAAGAAGTAGCTGAAAATGTTATCTCATGGCAGTGCTTTTGACTTGTTGGTTTGTTGATTAACGCCGCATTCAGCAATATTCCAGCTTTCTGACGGTGTTCTGGAAAGAATCGAGTCTGGATCATACAATCCAGTGATTGGCATCAGTAACATCTGTCGCCTTTATTTATGATTATGGAAATCATTTTGTCGTTTGCATTTGTTGTAATTTGGTCTACTTAACATTCGTGTCTAATACTTGTCGTGTTGGATATGTAACAGTTAGTGTTATTACCGAGTGTTTATTTACTTTAATGCACATTTATGTGTTTATGCGACAACAGGCTGAGCATGTTGAGTGGGCCCCTGGAACCATCTTCAGTGTGTGCTGTCTACTGGTTACCGTCCTAGTGAACGTCCTGCCGGAATCGATGGGGAAACCACTCCCACAAACCCTGGACGACGTGGAAGCATGGCATAAGAAGACGGACACAAAGACAGCAGATGAGAGAGACATTCTTCCGTAGTACTTTGGCACTTAGTCTTTTAGACTTAGACTTTTCTGTTCTTCAAATTCGAGAAACTCATTAAGTGTGAATTTGGGTTAACTACACGTGTTGGATGTAAGTAAAGCTTGATATCCTGGTGTATATATGACTGTAGAAGTTGTGACATGTCTAACATTTGCGTACAAATAAATAAATAAATAACTGATGTACTCTGGGAACAAAGAATTACTGTGACTGTCTTTATTTATTTAACAGTGTGCGGCCAGCACATTGACATGCACATACACTTACACTTACGACTGCTGCACCTGCTTAAATGACCCGTGAATATCCTGGGTAGAATAGGTCTTCAGCAACCAATGCGGGATCGGGTGGTCAGGATCGCTGAACTGGTTGATGCTGATGATGTCGATCACTGGATTGTCTTGCCCTGACTCGATTATTTACAGACCGCCGTCATATAGCTGGAAGTGCGGTGTTAAACAACAAACCAAAACAAACCTGCATAAATATCAACACCTACATCTAGACTACATATACACCTGTCCTTTCACCTAAACCTGAAACCTGTTTCTGTACACACACCTACACTTGCACCTGCACCTACACTTCCACCTTTACGTCAATTTTAGAAATGACCCCAATATGTCTGCCATAAAACGCCCTGAAAGCTTTATTAAGGCCTTGAATGATGTAACCCTGATCAAACAGCTTTTGAACAAGAATCGCATGACGCTCTTTAAAGTTTTCGTTGAAAGAGCATGCTCGACCTTACCTTAAAAGCTGCTCGATATTGGAAGGTATCAGGTCATCGATATATCTGAAACTGAAGTTCTTGGACAAATTCCCTTGTTTTGAGTTTGCCAGTTCGAGCAACAAGAAACAAAATGCACATGTTTATACAAATAGATCAGCAGTCCACGTGGTGTTCATGTGGAAGCTTAGTCCTTGCCTAAATGTCCTATCCGCAAATTTCACATACAATGTCATCTGGGTGTGTGTGTGTGTGTGTGTGTGTGTGTGGGGGGGGGGGGTTATAAGTCAACTAAACGTCAAAATAGTGTTGAAAACTATATGAATGGATCACTGGAAATCAGTGGTGACACAAGGTGTTCCTCATAAGGTTTCCTGCCGGTAGTGTTTCTAGTCCAGCATTGCACATTTTAGCAGTAAACTTCAGATGCCATTTGCTCTGAGTTTTCCCAAATTGTCCTGAACGTTTGAAGATAGCGATGTAACTGTAGAAAAGGTCTGCACGTTTAGTTACAAATAACCCTTGGATCAATAACTGAAGTTATCCTTTGGGTACAAAGTTGAAAAATCAAATGTCTCAATTGCATTTCATGAGATTTATGAAAAGCACGGTAATCATGTGATTCTCGTCTGGTTTGAATTCAGATATCCATTGTGCTTGAGACGACAAAAGAACGGTCTCTGATATTAGTCATGTTAGAGGGGATCATGCTAGATCCCGTCTTTAAATAGTAACTGTGCCCATGCACATATTTACATAAATGATACACATGAATATTCTTCGCCATGACTTTGCAAGCAGACATAGGTAAGTCCAATGCAGCTGTGGTCCAGGTGACGGAAGCAAGGGATTATTTGTTGTTTAGACGTCGAGAATGGCAGACAAGAGCCTGAAAGTTGACCCAGTACTTGTAGCATTAGGAGGCAGAGGACGCTATCAGATTATTCAATACTTCTTGTGTCTTTTTTCGAACTTCTCAGCGGCGTTCCAGCTCTACAACATTGTTTTTGTTGGTAAGTTGTATTGACTTTTTGATGACAATATATACTGAAACGCAAAAGAAACGTCACTCCAAGTAACATTGCATGAAAAGTTGTCATTCAAATATTTGGGTATTTTTTGTCAAAGTTTCTGAAATTTAAATTTAAATTGTCCGGAAACATGAAATTTGATGATAAAAAAACAAAGCAGATGACAATAAGACCGATCGCCCAAACGCATCACGGCAAAGACCATGGTAACCCAATGCACGTGCAAATTGAAATGCACATGCGCTCCTCTATTTCTTGCCCTACAAAAACCTACCCAGATCGGATAACATTCAGTCGTTATTGAATTGCTAACACATGCGAAGATTGACAAGAAATCAGCGACACCAAGCCCTTGGACGACTGCAAGCTGGACAAACCGCCCGGCAAGTAGCCAATGCATTTCAAGTCCACGTAAGGACCGTATACAGGCTCCAGCAACGGTACCAGACCACCAACACTACAGATGACCGACCACGTAGTGGAAGACCAAGAGTCACCATCCGACGTAAGGATCGTCAGATTGTGCGACAGCATCTTCAAGATCACTTTGTTACTGCTGCGGAAACTGCTCGTCAGAACATGGGGACACACCAGCGACTCATAAGTGCGGACATCACGCGTCGATGATTGACGAGCAGACACCTTCACTGTCACAGGCCACACCGAGGACCCATTCTGACACCACGTCATTGGCGGGACCGTCTTCAGTGGGCAACACAGCACTAGCATTGGCGCCACCAGTAGTGGAGAAGAATCCTCTTCTCAGACCAGAGCCGTTACTGTATCTCAACAGCAGATGGCAGAGAGAGAGTCTGGCGGCGCCGTGGGGAACGTTATTCGGATGCTTGGATTGTTGAGAGAGACTCGTGGGATGGTCCGAGCATCATGGTGTTGGGTGGAGCTGGTCTTGCACAGAGGGTCGGCCCTGTGGTCTTCCAGAACATCGGTCCAGGGAGTGGCAATGGTGTCACAGCAGCTCGGTACATTGATCAAGTCTTGAGACCACACGCAATACCTCAATTGGCACGTCGCCGCAACCTAGAGTTTCAGCAAGAGACTTCCTCCAGCAGAATGGCATCTGAACCATGCAGTGGCCTGCCCTCAGTCCCAATTTAAATCCCACTGAGCATTTGTGGGACGAGATTCAAAGACGGCTGAATGACGTCCGAAAGGCCGACAACTGCAGCTGAACTGCGTCAGGCGTTCCTCAGAATGTGGGCTCAAGTGCCTATAGCCTTCATCAACCGCCTCATGCCCTCCATGTATCGACGTTGCACGGCAGTCATCAGTGCACATGGCGGACACACGAGATACTGACTTGTGATGCCATTTTCTCAGAGACAAGTGTTGTGTTTCACTTAAATAACATATGACACTTTACTTTTAACCTTGATGATCAGTTTTTCCAAGTTTCGTCTTTTTAATATCCCTAAAAGTATGTTTACAGTGTTTGGACAAATAAAGTTTCTCATATATCCATCCATGGTGACGTTTCTTTTGCGGTTCAGTATATTATATTTCCTGTTAAATATATCACAAAGTAACACCTCAATACAACTCACGAAATGCTAAAAATACCTCTAATTCCTCCCACGCATTACTTAATTACAGCATGATTATCACTATTTTTTGTTGATAAATAATATATGGTATATACATGTATCGTTGAAGAATAAACTATGGAAACATTCTAAAACATTCTATCTATTCTTTGTAGGCAGAAATGTGCCCCATACCTGCAAGCAGCCGGTGAATATATCTGATCTCTACCAGGTCATCGGCAATGACTTTCAGGTCAACAATAGTTTTGTCTTCTTTGAGAAATGTAAAATACGGGTTGAAGCCAATATATCTGGTCATGTTTCCACCTCGGAAGTGTCCTGTATCTATGGCTACGAATACGAGGCAGGGAAAGATACTTCGTTGATGTCTGATGTAAGTCTCATAATGTTGTTCTTCCTCGATGTAAACTTCCATAGTAGTATGCATATAGGTATAAGAATTTAAACTGTCTATTTGAGTAAAATCATCTCGAAAATAAGTAAAATGCTAAGGTATAAGAAGAAATAGAGAAATGTATTAATGATATGTTCGCATTCCTGTACTACAAATTATATAAAAGTATATGCAACAAACACATATGAGTAAAGATGAAATCGTTACAAATGTTTAAAATTTTCACCTTTCAAGAATATTCAGTTTATAAACAACCTATATTCCACTAATGGCACGTTAAACGAATTAACCTTAGTCATAGCTTTCTGTTAATGGTATTGAAGTCGTGACTTTTCCAAATGTTACTAATATATTCTGCGAGATGTTGATAATTTAGCTGTTTTAAAAGATTATCCATCCTGGTAACAGATGGACATCGTGTGTGACAGGGCACATTTACGTGGATTTGCCCAGACGCTGCTCATCATAGGCCAGGGTATTGGTGCCTTTGTCCTCCCAGTCTTTTCTGACCGCTATGGACGTCGCCCAGTCTTCCTCATCTCACACTTCTGTTTCCTTGCAATAGGCGTGAGTGTGGCCTTTTCCCCAAACTACACTGCATTCCTTGCAATACGACTGTTTTTGGGCATCGTGCAACAGGTGAGAGGAACAGAATTCATGCGGTGTAGCAAATAAACATTCTATTTCACTGTGGAAATAGGTAACGTGTATATATCGGCATATTAAAATGATTTTACAAGTTAAATCTGCTGGTAGCCTAGCTCTACATCTACATCTCGTATATCAGAGTATAATCTCCATTCTACCAGGGCGAAATTAAAATTAAGCTCTTTGGTATTTGCGAAGATATTAAATGAAGCACTATTAATTGAGCATAAGTTGAGGAGTGTGGCATGGTTTGATCTGTATTAAGGAAACACAATGATGTTACTTAAAGCATGCTGCTCTATATATTCTTTTTCCCTCTACATTATTTAATTTACTCGCATGTAGAACAGACATTGAAAGTGTTGAGCACAACTACTTCAAAAGCAAGAACTAAGTAGACAACCGTAATGTATATCGGGTTCATTATTTCATAAGAATGACGTCAACTAAGCTCGGATTTTTAGAAGCGATCCGTCGCAAGCCACTGCTTCACCAAATATGAACGTAAATGATATCATCCTGTATTTGTTTGTTTATATTATATTGGTCCATTACAAGTGCTTCTTGATTAAATGTGATCCCATGGTGTCGAGACAGATCAGTGATTTCTTTATCTCTTCCATTTTTCTCCATAGGGTAATATATATCAGATTGTGTCCTTCTAATCTTTGCAGGGCCTCGTCATGACCAAACATACCATTGGCGTTGAGATGTTCCCCACACGTCATCGAAAACTCAGCGGACTATTGAACAGCTTCGTATGGTCGACTTGCACCGCCTTAATCGCTCTGATCGCCTACCTGATGCAGACCTACTCCTGGAGAACTACACAGCTTGTCTACTCGTCAGTCTCTTTATACGCCATCGTTCAATTCTTGTAAGTTTTTCCTCTCGTGAATCCGATCCCCAGTACCGCGCATGTCTGTCCAAAAAGTAGCTTGTACCTCAAATGGTCTAAAGAGCTAACTAGGTTCCTAGTGCCTCATACCTGTCAAAAGGGATGATTCCAAGGTACTGGGGACATGCTTGTCGAAAGGACCGCCTATGTACCTAGAACCTCATTTTTGTCGTAATGTTTGACTAGGTCCTCAGAACCTCAAGCCTGTCGTAAGATAGCCCGTACCTGCGTCGTGTTCTCTACAATGATAGTGGTCTGAATCCCTGATATACGCTCTAAAAGCCTTCGGTTGCCAGCAGCAGTATTCAGTGTTTCTAGATTTCAGGAAGTAAACGTTGAAAACCACTTCTGGTTACCCCAACACTACAAACATAGTACAAGTAGCACTGTAACTAGCCTGTTTATGTACAGCTACATTCTCTTCACTAGACTAGCATCCATACTCAGACATCATTTGTCTATTTCTTTACATATATCAAACAGTTTGAAAATTAAGTAAACAAACACAAAGAATTGCATTAACACACTGGTCAATACTCCAGCAGCTCTTGCCTAACTTTGAGGTACAATCGATTGTGATCTTTCTTCGAAAATTTCAAAGAGCATCATACGACTCTTGTTAGAAAGTAGTTTGATCAAGGTTACAATATACAATATTGACACATAAAGGAAAAAATCCGAAGCAATTCCCTATTTTGACCTGTACCATATGTTCCCGTGTTTTGTCAGGTTTTAACTTGCCTTTGCATGTCAAGCGACAAAACCCTTTCCATTTTCATAAGAAATCTTTGCCCAAAGCAAAGTCCATTGATAGTTTCACATTATATCATTAAAATAGGTTTATGAAACACTATCAATTAATGGAGAGTCCACGTGTTTGCGAAAAGGTGAGCATGTCCTTGCCCGCTGGTGGCATCCGTCACAAACACATGCAAAATTCATTCATTGCAGACGACCTCCACCACATAGCCCAAAGGCCATAATATTGAATATGAATTTCACCAACATTAACAAAGTATGTACACATTTGAGTACATTGCTTAAAGTACATTATGAAATCTGCCTCGTCAATTATGATTTAATCTTCATCAAACTGTTAATACTTTACACATTGTGTCAATCAGGGAAATACCTCTGTAATCATTTGTATTATTCTCATCACCAGATATATTTGAAGAGTGTAAAAAGAAGACATTTATTCCTTAACTGTGAAAAGTCACTACAAACAAATTTCTTTTTAAAGCGAAACAAAAGTATGTATGATGAGACTTAGTATCTTTAAGATGTACGGTCTTCTCATGGTTGTATAAATCCACAAAAGGAAGTCTGTTCATGAATCTAACAAATACAGTGAGCAGCAATGTAAGGTGTGAGGAAAGACTCGAAGAATAGTGACAGTTTGGGAATCAACTTCCTGTAGAATATTTCTCATCGAGTTATACTCTCTGTACAAAGAAGTCTTTGAATGTAGAAACAGCAAATAAGCAGTATTTTTGCTTTGATAGATAGATCTGACCATGCACCTTAAAATAGTAATTACTGTTTTCATTTAGTTGTATGAAACAAAGATAAGCCAAGAGTTTCCCTGGAATCAATGGCCTCATTTCTACCACTGTAAGGACATTTAACCGCAACAATGGTGTTGCAATCAATGACACCATTTGGGTTTGATGCAAGGAAATGGAGTGTTCAGAATCAACAAACATTCTACTCCTATCAATATGAACAAAGTTTGGAAATAGCATTGGGTTCCTGCTGTAACCCATGCCTCACAGATTTACAAACTAATTTTCCCAGAGACTATGTGTTTACACAACTTAGTTTTGTTTCTCGTTGTTATACATCTGCCAATTGTCCCAAAATGAGATGATGTCGACCTCCATTTCCTCTCTTCATACCATAAGCTATACTTGGCCTGCTTTCTTGTCTTTAATTCCAAGTCCTTAGCCTACTCGTCTGTAATCTGGCAAAGATAAACAGAATACAATATCATTATATCATACAAAAAATTATCAATAACATTGTTGAAACTCCTTTACAAATCACAAAAAAACACAATCCAATCAGATATGCAGTTTAACCATGTCGTATCTACCTCAATTGGACCAGAAAAGATCCATTTAAACGTGATTCAATTCAACCATCACTTACTACACTGTGATGTCTGAAGATATTGTGATCAGACACATGTCATATGCAGTAAAAATGACAACCAGATAATGAATAATTTTTGGCACTAGAAGAAGAACTATGAGATTTACTAATTTGAATGCAACCAAACCTGAGCTTTTTCAAACCAAAAATATAATAACTTATAACAGTGACTTGTTAGAATACATAAACCAGAGGACTGAAGATTTCTTCCTCTACAATTACAGAAAACATGTGTGTTAACTACCATCAAGGTTCTATCCACCCAGTGTTCTGTAGGGCTTGTCCAGATAGTCACGATCTCTTACTGCAGGCGTCATACCAAAAGACGTTAAAAGATGGTACTTGTTGTTACCCTGTCTGGCGCTCGGCATTAAGGGGCTAAAACAAGGACTGGTCGGCTCGGAGTATTCATTAGGTATTCATGTTAAACTGCGTCATGGTATATCAGTAGGCTAGCACTATAAATAGGCATCAGTCCGAACTAGTACAAGCAGCCACACAAACACACATGAGCATGCTCGTCGCTATATAAGTGCAATCATCTTGGACGCGACGTTAAACCCCATTTCACCTCACCACCTTACTGCAGATGACAGACTGGCTCTTTCAAACAGGTATCTGATCGTGATATCCCTGGACACTGTAGAGCACTAGTTGATTCAATGTTCCTGTATTTTTCAGGTCTTGGTCCATCAAACATGGATGGTCGCTTTGCATTCATAGGAAATTATATAATAAACCTGTATTTATTTTAAAAATAAATTGTATTTGAAAGTACTATAAATTTAGCCAGGGGTGGACCCTATGGAGCTGACCAATGCATCGGGTTACACTTAAAAAATGTTTTGTTCAACCAGACCCTTCAAAAAGAAGTAGTGTCGGAAGGTCTTCCTTTTTTCCAAGTACTGGAATTATATCTGAGACGAAGAATTAAAATGTCACAGGTCATGTCAAACCCCAGAAAATAAAAACATCAGAGCATACCCAAAATAACTTGAATTAGTGTTATTTTGCAGGTTGTAAAAAACGAGAAAGTGTTAATGACCCAGCCTATTATCTTCCCACATGTCACCCTATCTATGCTTTGATATCCCGACTAAAGCTTTTTTATTATTATTTTCACTCGGGGTTTGAATTAAAAGGTATATACTGTTTATTTTGATAGACTTTGGCTTGATGCAGTGATTGCATGCATACAGCACTGACTGTCTCATGATGTAGCCAGTATAGTCCCAGTCATGCTCTGTAGACGCCTGACATGACATAATGAGGAAAAGATGATTAATTTATGTATGCTTTAGTGACAATTTCAACAATATGCGCACCTTTTCATTCATTAAAATGCACGTTGCACACCCTTGTCGTTTCGTTTAATAACAACAGTATTCATTCAGTTCGGATTTCCCACGGTAATCTCGAGTCGTTGTGAACCATATATAGACGTACATTTCCAACATTCATCATAAACTGACACATTATTGGCACGTTTTTTTTTAATTTCGATCTTCCCCAAATCACATAAATATTTTACATGTCATGCCATTTTTTAGCCGTATAACGACTGAAAGGGATATACGTATTGTTGGGACGAATAATTGAATGCGTAATATCTCTACTTCAGTAAATTACGATTGCTTCTTTACTATTAATATGTTTATTATGTGTTTCCTAACAGAAATTCCCGATATTACTCTGAAAACTTCCAGTAGTTCTGGAATAGCGTTATTCCACTCGAGTAAAATATTAATTTAGATACAGTATGCTATCACCAGATGCATAAAAAATTAGCATCTAATTTTTACAGTTTTCTTGACGAATCTCTCTCTTGGTTGATTACTAACAAAAAGACCAAGCAGATCGCAAAGAATCTTAAGAAAGCAGCACGTATCAGCGGCAAGGACTACGAAACCGTCATGAATGTTTACAAGAACCTACAACAGCAACAGGGATCCTTACTTGAAGGAGAAGACACTGAAGGTCGTTTGAAGAAGTCTGCCTCAAAAGAGAAGGATAAAACCAAACTATCCTTTCTGGACCTAATGAAAAGAAAACGACTGGCAGCAAATGTACTTGTACTGTGGTTCACTTGGTATGTCATTATTTTTTTTCATTACATGTTGTCATCCTGTCCTTGTGTCACTACTTGGTATGGCCATCTCATTGTGTCATTACATGTTGCCATCATGTCCTTGTGTCACTACTTGGTATGACCATCTCATTGTATCATTACATGTTGTCATCCTGTCCTTGTGTCACTACTTGGTATGACCATCTCATTGTATCATTACATGTTGTCATCCTGTCCTTGTGTCACTACTTGGTATGACCATCTCATTGTGTCATTACATGTTGTCATCCTGTCCTTGTGTCACTACTTGGTACGGCCATCTCATTGTATCATTACATGTTGTCATCCTGTCCTTGTGTCACTACTTGGTATGGCCATCTCATTGTATCATTACATGTTGTCATCCTGTCCTTGTGTCACTACTTGGTATGACCATCTCATTGTATCATTACATGTTGACATCCTGTCCTTGTGTCATTACTTGGTATGGCCATCTCATTGTGTCATTACATGTTGCCACCCTGTCCTTGTGTCACTACTTGGTATGGCCATCTCATTGTGTCATTACATGTTGCCACCCTGTCCTTGTGTCACTACTTGGTATGGCCATCTCATTGTATCATTACATGTTGCCATCCTGTCCTTGTGTCACTACTTGGTATGGCCATCTCATTGTATCATTACATGTTGTCATCCTGTCGTTGTGTTAAATAATAAAGATCCAAATATAGCATCCAATTACTTGGCTCAAAGAATTATTGTCTAAAAGCATCTTATCAGTGGACAAAATTCACGTCCTTTGAAAAAGAAACATGGCGACACATTAAACTATTGTCTCGGGGAAACAGAAACAAATAAAGGAAAGCAACAAAATGTGTCAGGGTATGGCAAGGGTTACTACCCTTCCCTACTGGCCGACACTGAGGGTAATAGTACGATATAGTTATTTTAATTATGTTACATTTGTGAAACGTTTGGTCTGCGAATTGGTAAACTATGTATGTTGTTTTAAATGAAAGCGACAAAAGGCAGATTCCGACTATGTCATGAGCAGGTGCTTATGAATCACTGTCAAATATTGTTGATAACAGGTATTCGTGATAAGGTGGCAACTTAAAGAAAAGAAGAGAAACGCCTTTTAAGTATTAACTTGTTTTTTGTGTTAAGTCTTTGTCAGTTTATATATCACGACACGATATATTGATAATTTTTATAATGAATGCCTTTTGGTGAAATATGTTTAACAGTGTTTGAAAGTAATTTCCACCTTCAAACTAATGAGCCTATTATGTACATTTGTTGTTTCAGGATAACCGACAGTATGACAGTGTTTGGCCTTATCTTTACCTCACATCAACTGGCTGGTAACCACTATATCAATTTCGTTCTCTTTGCTTTGGTGAAATTTCCGCCCATTTTCGTCTTTTACGGCATGGTCGACAGGTTTGTATGGCTATTCACTGCTCATCAATTGCAATAATTGATGAGAACATTTTTTATGCAGCTTTAAAGGTTAACAATAACACGTGGGGGAACATCAGGAGTGAACGTCACTCATTTATGTCCATCTTGGGAATCAAGCTACAGAACGTTGTGTCACTACTGTGAGGATATCATATAACATATTTATCTGATCAAGTGGCCGATGATGGAGGGTTCAAATAGCAAATGCTCCCGAATCAGCACCATACCCATGAGTGAATATCAAAACTCGATCTGTAAGCCGCCTGTATAATTAAAAATATAAGCGATAAAACCCTTTCCTTTTCAAAGAATTTGTCAAAGTCCATTGTATGATTCCGACCATATCATGTCTTTTGAGCACAAAATAGTTATGATACCAGGTGTTCGCGAAAATGTAAACAAATCCTGCACCCATTACAAACGCATAAAATGCAAGTCAATTATTCACCTGAAACACCTTCTCATTTTGAAAGCATCACTAGGGGAATGCTGTTCAAGTGAATGCTGTAACAGCTCTTGAGCAATGGTAGCATGACGCTCTGAGAAATCTAGGTTAAAAGCGCATTCTGGTTTGTGTACAAAAATTGAAAAAAGCTCCACAAGTTGGAGCCGCCGAACTCCTTCCTTAATTGTATTAAAGAGTATGGTTAATCTTTGAGACAGGGATTTGGTGATGCCTTGCTGAACCTATCAAGCACATCCTTTTTCAAACGGATGTTTGTTGAACTTTGGAATCAAGGACATCATAGGTTTTGCCAAACTGTACTGATAATACTAATGCGTGGTTTAGGCAGATTTCTTCGTTCTTAATTGATGTGTGACTAATACCAAGTAATTTGATCAGACAATTTATTCTAATTAAGGCATTGACAGTAGGAACAATTAAAAACTTGTAATGTAGGGCAGCTGCAGGCACTAAGGCAAGCCATATTTTGGAGGATGACAGCTGGCTGGGAAAGAATGATTCCATTTCTGTTTCCACTGTTTTAGTTCAATATACTACAAATGACATCATCACGCACATACCCAACTCGGAAAGATAGTCAACAAGTTCCTCTTCTCCTTTGGTCAATGTTTTGGCATATGCTTTGACATCATCCATAATGAACTTAAAGTTGTAATCCCGATTGGTAGTAGGCGGTTCCTGACAACTTATTTTTATCTTTTCAAGGTACGGACGTAAGAAAACCAGCATCCTTCTTCACGGCATTGGCGGTATTTCCCTCTTATTGGCCACAGTCTGCAAATCCACAGGCAGTATGTTAGCTATTTTGAAAGTAAGAACTGTCTTCTCCTTTGGATGGGATGTTGTAATTAAATGTAGCTACCATCCATATGAAACAGATTACGGTGTGTATTTTTGTTTTTTTTATGACTTCTCTTATGACTTCCTTCTTTATCATCCGTTTACAAACAAATGAGATATATTAGACAATAAATTTGAAATTACTTGATAAGCAGGCACTCAATGATGTCTTTAGATGTGAACCAATTCTTGGATGCAAACCTGATTCATTAAAACTATATACTCAAGACGAAATTGCATAAATAACTATACTTGAAAGAAAACTACATGCAGGAGAAACTTCAGCGACATCAAAAGATCATATAACTTTTTGTAATCATCATTTTCATGCACATGCCCTGTGTGTGGAATTTGCGATATATTAGTAGACATATTATCGTTATAAATAGATAATGAATAAGGATCTCGTTTCCAGAGGAAAGTGAGTGGTCCCCAATAGCTGTAACTGTGCTTTCTTGTCTTGGGATGTTCGGAGCTTCAGGCGCCTGGACTACTATGTTCTTCTTCACGCCGGAATTATTCCCAACAAATCTGAGGTAGGTCAGTTAACTAAACTATAATGTTTGTGAACAATATGCGAGTCGATGGATCCATATACAATGTAAAGAAAATAGAGCCTAATATTGATTAAGAGAAGAAACCTATTCTGTTTTCAGAAACAAGGGCCTCGGAACTTCTTCAGCTTTTTCAAGACTTGGAGGCATGTTGGCACCGTTCGCAAGTCTTCTAGTACGTTCTTTAACCGTTTTGGACCAAATTAAGGAGTAGTAATACCATTCAAGTTTCCTTCCACTGATTTACCCACCTATAATCTTAAAATAATGATACCACTGATATATTCTGACCTGATTTTTAGAGCGATCAATAAATATATCCACAAGACTGTATGACAAGACGGGTGACTTTAACTTTCCAACAGACAACTTTTCCTTTGTGGGTAGCAGCTCCAGGCTTTGATATCTACATTTTACATCTTTTGAGGTACAATCGAGCAAGCTTATTCTGTAGAGCGTCATGCGACTCTTGCTAAAAGGTTTATTGAACGAGGTTACAACATTCAAAGACTCGGTAAAGCTTTTAAAACTGTTTATGGTAGACATGTGGAGGAAGTTTCGAAATTTGACGCATCAGTCACAAACACCTCATTTGACAACGTCAATGTGAACTTTGGGGATAAGACATTTAGGCAAGAAGTAGGCATCCCAACACCAGTTGGGCTCCACTTCTTACGAATCTGTATCTTTTATGCGTGTGACTCTAAAATTCTGCTCAGATTGGCAAAATCAAAACAAGAGAATTTGGCCAAGAAGTTGAGAATTAAATTACGATGTTATAGCCAATTACCTTACACTGATTTACCAACCTGAACTAAAAATGAAAGAGACCACAACTGTTTCATATTTAGATTAATGCATAAGTATTCAGAGTGACAAAACACTCTCCACAAGACTGTTTGGTTTGTTTGTTTTTTGTTTAACGCCGCACTCAGCAATATTCCAGCTATATTACGGCGTTCTGTAAATAATCGAGTCTCCACAACACAATCCACTGATTGACATCATGAGCATTGATCCACGCAATTGGTCTACGATGACATGCATCAACCAAGTCAGCGAGCCTGACCACCCGATCCCATTAGTCGCCTCTGACGACAAGCATTTTCGCCTTTCACGGCAAGCATGGGTTGCTGAAGACCTATTCTACATCAGATCTTCTTGGGTCCCACAAGACTGTATGACAAGAGGGGCGACAACAATTTTCAAATAGTCAACTTTACCGTTAAGCTGAGCAATAGTCCATCCGTTCCAGGTTTGGGTGTCTACATTTCACAACGTTCGATGTACATACGAGCATGTTCCTTCTTCGAAGGTTTTACCAAGCGCCAAGCGACTGTTGCTTCACAAATGGATGATACGAGACATTTTTTTTATGATTATGAAAACGGTTATGTCGCCTATATTTATGATTATGGAAATCATTTGTTGTACTTCGGTCTACTTAACATACGTGTCTAGTAATTGACGTGTTGGATATGTAGCAGTTAGTGTTATTACCGAGTGTGTATTTACTTTAACGCATATTCGTATGATAATGCGACCACAGGCTGAGCACGTTGAGTGGGCACCTGGAACCATCTTCGGTGTGTGCTGTCTACTGGTTACCGTCCTCGTGAACATCCTGCCAGAGACGATGGGGAAAGAACTCCCTCAAACCCTGGATGACGTGGAAGCGTGGCACAAGAAGACTGACGCCAATACAACCAATGAGATGAACATTCTTCCCAAGCACGTTGATACTTAGTCAGCGTTTGTTGTTTGTCAATTTTCTCCAGCAGAACTTAAAACGTTTGGATACATGATTTGTGTAGGTATACAATAATCACAAGGACAAGTACATAATATATGCTATGCGACTAATTATGTGAAAAATATGGTTTTAGAAACGTGTCAGTTTCACACCTCTTTAACCTATTTAGCACTTCAAGACACATTCATTCAGCCTCATTACAATCAGATATTTTACTCCGATACGAAACTACATGTATCTCTGTATCAGGATCCGAGGACACCTCCCTTGCACGTCACATCAGGCGGAACCTGAGCAACCCATGACTTTGATCTAATGCTGCGAGTATTATGAGGCAGTCAGCTGTCAGTATTCAAAAATGATTCGGCTCCATTGTTTACCCAATATCCACAACAATATATTACCGCCGCTACACTTTCTACCATCGAAACTTGTCGTTTCTTTCGTTTCAGAAATACGAAATTTGAATCATTCGCTCAATCATACTGAAAATTTACAGGCCTCGACCATGATTGGCGGATTAGACAGTTCACCTTGTATTAGAAAACGATTTAATTTTAATCAGATTGTACTCCATTTTGCCTTTTGTTCATATTGCCCATCACCTTAAGCTCATGGTACATTATTAAAGTCGATTCCTCAAGCAGATGTTGAGAATGACAGGTGATACTGTGAGCTTAGAATGAAAGGTAAAATATAAAGAAGTAAGGCTCACTTTATTCAGATTAACAGCCTGACGTGACAATGTTGTATGTAGTAGTTTACTTTGTATTGAAGGAGAAATAAATGAAATGAAACAATTACTCTAATAGATGAGTGGGGTTTGCTTGCAATTGGTGTTTTCAATACAGTGTTAATATATAAGAAAGGTTTTCTTCCCCGAGTACCTTTAACGGAACTAGTCTGCATGACGACTACGGGAATAAAATCATGTACAGGGCGTCAATACGTCATTTAGGGGGCACGGGTGACCAAGTGTGCAGAGCTGCGTCCCTTGGGCACGCCAGAAACCTATGAATGTGGGTTCGAATTCCAGTTTGCCCCGATTATGTTTCTAGGTTTGTCAGCAACATACCCGTACTACTTTCAATGTTCACAAACAAACATGGCGTCGCCCTTGTCAATCAACGATCGAGTCAGAATTAACTATCGGGCATATGGAGAACTTACTGAGATAATTATCTTTATCAAAACAATAGTCTAGGATACAGAAAAGTATTGTCTTACTGGAACGTAGCTGAGACATTTTTCAAGTTTAGGCGAGGACACTAGGCTAGTAGGATCAGTTTCCATATCTGACTCTTCACTTGCGTTATGACAGAACAGGAAGCCCCAAAACAACGTGTCATAGACTAGGGTTAGAGTAACTTCCCCTTGTTAAATAACTTTTACTCTAGCGGGTGGACCGATGGATTGCCGCGAAAGGCAAATAGAAACAATATATGTAGGCAGTATTTAATGTGCCCATATTTCGTTACGCCACTGTCTGAGAAAGAGGTTTCAGTTGGAACTCCATTGACTGTTGCTACCGTCACATTGTCAAATCTTCTGACGTAACATATATTAATGCGCACATTCCAGGAAATGTTGCAATGTGTCAGTAATGTTTGCGAGAGATGACAACAGGCCACATGATTTAAGAATGAGATCATATGATAAAGAGGTTATCACGCTTGTGTGTTTTTGGATGGTTCATATCCTGTATGAGGAATAAACACAATGTATTTACCTCGACAAGGCTCGTTAAATACAATGTTTACTCCCAATACAGGATATTTGCCATCCCAAAACAGACTCGCGTGATAAACTCTACATATCCATGCAGGATCTGCGACTTTAGTCGTTCGGTTCATGACCCGTGTGACCTCCAAAATTGAGATCTACGAGTTCTTACATTAGTTACACTTCCTACCCACCACACTGTGCTGAGATTGAATAATGAGTGAAGGATATCCCAGAGGAAAACCTAATGTCACTCAATGTATGTATGAGCATACACATCGCATGTGTGCGTCGGACAAGCAAGGTCTAACACTGTACAATGGCGTCCAACGTTCAAGTGGATCCTCTGTTGAATGCTTTGAACGGAAAAGGTCGTTACCAGATACTACAGTTTTCCCTCTGCAAAGCATCTACAATTTCTGTAGCAGTTGTTATATTCAGCTTTGTTTTTGTTGGTAAGTAAAATATTTATTATCCCCAGCCACGAAGTGGATGGGGGATATACGAATGGGTGCCGTCCGTCCGTCCTTCCGTTCTTCCATCCGTCCATCACATTTCGTTTTCGGAGCACTACACAAAAGTCATGAGAGATATCTTAGCCAAACTTGGCACATAGATAGGTCTAGTGGTGAACTTTTGCCTTTTGATAGTTTGGGATTTTAAAAAAATATATTTTTCGATTTTCCATGGGAACGACTTTAACTTAGACTGAAAATGGCGGAAGTCCACGTTTCCAGAGCTTATCTTGAAAAACGTACGATATTTCTTCACCAAACCTGGCACATAAATATGTCTAGTGGTAAGCTGGTGCCTTTTGATAGCTTGGGAGTTTTTACGAATGTTTTCTTTGCAAGAGAATAACTCGGAAACCGTTTACATATTCTATAAAACCATCTACACAGGGTTGTCTGAGAACCGTTACCATAATTACCTAATTGAGATGTATACCACTTGACAAAGGAACTTGGTCAAGGTATATGGTGAATTATTGTAAAAACACAATTTACAAGTGGCACCCGAACCAGCCTACCTCATCGCAGTGCATTGTGGTAACATGAACAGTGACACCCGAACCAGTCTACTTTCTCGCAGTGGGTAGTGGTAACATGAACAGTGGCACCTGAACCAGGGTACAAATTTACATAAATCCTGTCGCCCGAACCAGCCTACTTCCTCGCAGTGTAAGTTTGTTGGCGTGTTTGATGTTCTTTTGTTTCACAGAAACACACATCAATGATTACAGTGAAAGAGACATGCCAGGATATCAAGTCTATCCAGCAGACAGTACACATGGTATTGCTTCAAATACCATGTGTATGTTTCAAAAAGTTTCAAGAACAGTGTCTAGCTATGTGATGTAATGTCATCTCACAATATTGAAGACATTTCCTTTCTTGTTGGCAAGTTCTGCATTGCTTGTGTGTATGTTCCTCCAAAAGTGTCATGGACACGGTTGTCGCATTCACTTACGCATTTCATGCAGAAACTTCAGGATCTCTCCAAGCAGCATGAATGTGAACATGTCCTAGTTACTGTGTTTTCAACTCACTCACTCTCCAACTCACTGTATTGGAGCTACACTCGACTTGTTGTTAACTGATCATGCCAGTGCTGTAGTATTCTAGACTCCAGTCTACTACTCAGATCATCAGATGATTGCTGCTGTACTTCTCAGGACACCTCATGGTGACCCCTGCTCTCATTAATCTCAAAGTAAAGTAAGAACTCCCTTAGGAGGTGCGGCTGCTGACTTTCAACTCGGTATGGCTGGGCAGTTAAGTTGACCTGATCCAGAAGCACAGTAATCCTATAGAGCTTCTGAAAATATAAATAATGTGTTTACACTGTTTCTAAATAATCCGGACAAGGTTCACTTTCGTCATGAATAGAAAAAACATGCAGCTTGGGTGACTGTTTAGGCACACGAAAGAAAATCAACTGTGACATTTCATTGACTGATATAGAATATTTGTTTCTTTGTCAATCCGCTTGCTGGAAGTACCCAGGGAATATCGATGAATGCTTAAAGGGCTAAATGTATACTCGTTGGCGTAAGTCAGACATATTTATCTGTTGTGTTCAGAGGGGGGCACGGGTGGCCCAGTCGTCTAAGGCGCCGCGATTCGCTGTGCAGAGTTGCGTCCCTTGGGTACGCCAGAAACCTATGATTCAGGGTTCGAATCCCGGTTCGCCTCGATAATGTTTCTAGGTTTGTCAACGCCATACCCGTGCTCGTGGGTTTCACCGAAGTGGTAAACGTCTGAGACCTGCATCACTTTCCTCCCACATTAAGCTGACACGCGGCGATATAACTGGAATACTGTTAAAAGCGGCGTTAAACCCAACTCACTCACTCACTCACTGTTGTGTTCAGATTTGTGAGTGTGGCGGGTTTAACGCCGGTTTGAACAGTATTTCTTTCATATCACGAATCACGAAGTGATAGCTTAACGTGTTACGTGGAAGGAAAACTCAAAGAGGTGCACAGACAGGAGAATGGTGTTGACAAACAAACAACTATTCGTATCCTGCAACGCTTCGGTTTTTCCTACTTAATCAAGCTGACACGCCGTGATAAAACTCGAATACTGTAAACCAAACGCTCTCGCTCACTTACATTTGAAAATGAGCTAATCCATCACTGTCTCCCCTTGGTTGATCTTCATATAAACTAATGGGGAACTTTCAGGAAGAAACATTCCACACGTCTGCAGTAAGCCCAGCAACACGTCGGAAGTCATCACAGCCATTGACGATGACACCTTCACCATCAATAACAGCAACATCTATTACGACAAGTGTAACATCAGAATCGTCGCCAACGTTAGTGGCCACACGGAGACGAAACAGCTGCCATGTCTCTTTGGTTACATCTTTTCTGAAAGGAAGGACCTCTCCATAATATCAGACGTGAGCATGTATTCTCCATAATATCAGACGTGAGCATGTATTCTCCATAATATCACAAGTATGTATTCTCCATGATATCAGATGTGAACGTGTATTCTCCATAATATCAGAAGTGAACGTGTATTCTCCATAATATCAGACCTGAACATGTATTATCCATAATATCAGACGTGTGCATGTATTCTCCATACTATCAGAAGTGAACGTGTATTCTCAAAGCATGTATCCTCCATATACTGCCTATATTAAAAGTAATTATGATTATTAGGTAACGTCTTTTGTACTTGTATGTTGTACTTGTATTAAGATTTGTTTGACAGAACCTGTCTATTGTTGTTGGCAGTATTTCATTTATAGTTTAATGTACGTTGATCTACGCAGGACGATGTGTTGTCCAAACAATCCGCCACTGCTCAATTTGTGGGTACATAAACGTATGCTGGTAATCAACGTGTCTCTGTTATATTGTGTACAATGGAAAATAAAGCATATGTTGGTAAAATAGTACTATATTCAGATGGAGCTAGTTTGTGAGAAGGCTCCTCTTCGGGCATTGGGTATGTCCCTCTTCTTTCTGGGCCAAGTTATAGGAGCAGCCACACTGCCAATAGTATCCGACCGCCATGGAAGACGACCAGTTCACCTCATCTCGCACTTCTGTGTTCTGGTTCTTGGAATCTGTGCATCCTTCTCACCTAATTACACAGTTTTTCTTGTGGTGCGGTTCTTTACTGGAATAGTGCATTCGGTGAGTGTTACAAGTCGTACGGGTGGGGGACGCAAGGTTTGGAGAATAGTTATCAGAGTACATGCAATATACGAAGACATTTTGCTCACTGATACTTAGTACGTCTCACTGAAGATGTGAGGCTGCCCCAAATATTCCTCAAACATTGGTCGACATATTATAGTCTTAGAAATCTTTTAATGCTTCAAAGTGTAGTTAATAGCTTTAGACTTGTCTTTCCGTGTTGTCAAATCTCAAATGATTTTCACGTACACTTTGAACAAAACGCGATAACGACTTTATGACACTCACATCTGTATTTTTGAGATACGATTAATTACCTGTAATATAATATAGATACTGAAGACCGCTCACCACGTTTCGCCAACAAGGGTATATCCGCAAAGGCACAGAATTAGGACATTCGTATTGATAACGGGATTTAAATTCGACACTGTGTTAATCTGACACTTTGTTACATGTTCGATTGTCCTCCAACTTCAGATTTACACTTTTTCGCATTAAGGGCTTAGTTTTGACTGATGCAACAATTTCTGTGGAGCTGTTCCCTGCGCAGCACCGGAAGTTGTTCGGCTTTATCACCAATCAGTTCCGGGTTTGGGGTTTGGTGGTATTAGCCGGCCTTGCCTACTCGCTACGGGATCAGTCTTGGAGATGGTTACAGCTGGGACTAACTTCCGTCTCCCTTTCCGTAATTCCCGCAGCAGTGTGAGTTATTCTAACATTGTCCTCTCTTAGAAATGATCTGGATAAAAGCTATATGTGCACCTTTAGGACTGCATTGAGTCATAATGTCAAATATTATGACTTAACATACTTATGATCTTAACCATGTTTGTATATATGATTTATGAATAGATACATGGCGGTGCGGACTGTTAAATGAAACGTTTGATAACAGTAAAATTGCTCTCCCACTTTATTAATTTCCAGTCTTCTTGATGAGACTCTACGATGGCTGATTGTCCACGGTAGGGTGGACGACATCAGGAAAACCCTAGAGAAGGCAGCGAGAATGAATAAAGTTGATAAAAGACATGTCATGGAAGAATTTGGAAATATCCAAGACCATCACAAGTCACTGTTACCGAGGAGGCTGTCCCTTGAAATGGAACCTAACAGCCCAACATCCCAAGGAAAAGAAGATTCTGAAAACACAGTGAAAGTTACACATTCTCTGGCTGATCTGTTGAAAGTCAAACGATTGGCAATCAATACAATTGTCATGTGGTTCATCTGGTTAGTAAACGTGCCTATACTTGCTGGTGAGAAACAAAGTAGCCAAGTAACTTTACACGCAGGTTATTATGTTATCCATATTATTTTTCACATGTTATCCATATTATGTTTTCACATTTAACCTGATTGTGAACACTAAATTGCTTGCATATATCCACACACCACAGATAACGGTAGTGAACACTAAAGTGCTTGCGTATACCCACACATCACAGATACATGTAACAGATGTGAACAGCTAACTTCAGAAGCAAAGGAAATAGAACGGTTACATTATTATACATTATTCTTGCTTCACATATCAGTACCTAAAATAGGTCGGTACATTAAGGACACTGATCGTTTTGTTCCAGGCTGTCGTCTAGTATGATCCTCCTAGGAATCTACCTGAACTCAGAATCATTAGCTGCAGGCAGATATATCAACTTCTTTGTGATCGCCATCATCCCCTGTCCGTCTGGTGTCATTTTCTATTTCATGGTTGACAGGTAACGTTCGATGTCACGACAGATTACCTTTAATCACATCCTTTGAAAAGATCAAATGTTAGAAATCTGTCAGTTCTTTGAATCATTGTATATATGGAGCAATGCCTAATTATTGATACACTTAATTGGATTCTATCTTATTTCCCTGATTACTAAGATGATTGAATGATTGATTAACTAATGACTGGCTGGATATTCAGTGGATATGATAATGGAAATACGCTCCAACATCTGCCGCGTTCTGTGACTGATTGTGTGTGAGGACGGGATTTCTGGACGTCAACCTTTCTTTAATGAGTGAGTGAGTGAGTGAGTGAGTTAAGATTTAACTTCACACCGGCAGTATTTCAGCCATATCGTGACGAGAACTTCATTAATTAGACATATATTGAAACGAAATAAAAACCTGTCAACGATGGACAGTACAATAACTAGTATATCACAGATTTTATTTAAAACTAGTTGAGAATATTAAAAGTTAGTAAATATTAGAGAACAACACAATATAAAAATGGGCTAGAGATCGTCACTTTATTTAATGAGGAACACAACGTTTCTGAGTATATGCTTACTCTTTTATCAGTTTATTGTGAATGGTTGACACTGCAGATATGGACGGAAGACGACGCTCCGGGCGCTGTACGTAATAACAACTGGGGGGCTGGCAGTAGCTACAGCTGTCAGAATCTTCTCGGGTAAGAATGTATTTAGCTAATCTTGGATGATGTCCACTATTCATGCCAGCGTTTCCTGTATGTCATCATAAACCAGTCAACTAGTTAAAATTATAATGATTGTTGTGTAACGCTGCAATGTTCACGCTATATGACGGCGGCCTGTAAATTATTAAGTCTGGACCAGACAATCCAGTGCTTGATATTGTGAACAACAAACCACGGTGTCGGGGTAAGAGGACACACCATCAACAGTCACCCGGTCCATCTGGTCGGCTCTTACCACAATCACAGGATGCTAGAGACAAATCCTAACTCAAAATTAAATTCAATTTTTAATTTCAATTTTCAACAGTGAGTGATGGAAATGCAGCAATTGCCTCGACCATCTTCTCCTGTTTTGGAGCCATGGGAATAACGGAAATTACGTCAACGTTGTTCTTTTACACTCCAGAAATGTTTCCAACCACGATGAGGTAAAACATGAGATTATTACTCGTTAAAGAATCTAGTCATCTTTTTGGCCAGATTCTGTCTTGAAAACAGTTATATAAGTTGCTTCACCTTCAGGCGGGCGTAATGTTAGACGAGGCACCATAATTGATCCTGTTCTCGCTTCTCGTGCTGCTGACGGTAACCTGGTTAGACATCCACTAGTTAGACAGCTTAAAACAACACATTTTATGGTTCTGTGCATACCAAATTAACTGACTGTTACCTCAGGATGAAAATGGGATATCCCAGTTAATGGAAAACTAACACCGGGTTGAAGATTTACGTTAATTAGTTTGATGTGATACAAATGAGCTTTTCTATTAACGATTCAAACTCACATGCCACGAATAGGACTTCATGTTTTTGCACAAGTATAAAGTAAGGCACATGACAAAACACAAAAAGATACCGAATGAAATGCAAAACACAATTAAATCCACACGTTATGTTCAGTACTTACTTGTTTCAGAAACGTTGGCCTGGGATCATCAGCTGCTATTGGCAGAGTTGGAGGCATAGTGATTCCGTTTATAATACTGATGGTATATACATGATGCATTTTCACATCTGTAGTCAAATGTGTACAATATACTGTAGTGAATGTATGTTCTATGTTCATTGAGATCCACAAACAGCTACTTTCTGTTTGGCTTATCGCGAATTTTTGTTAGTCATATCACTGGACGGTAAAAGGTCGTTCTGACGTGACCTGTAATGGGATGTCCTCAGATACATGTGTAGCAGAAGCGAGCACTAAGGTCTGATTTTAATGATATTGCCTCGAATAACAAAGCAGACTCAAGGCCGTATAAGACAATAGAGTATTGGAAATTATATGAATGGATCACTGTAAATCAGTTTTGACACTAGGTGTCCGCGAAAAGCATGCCCTAGTCTACCGGTAGCACCCGTCACTCAAACAATGCCATTAAAACAGTTAGCATTAGTAAGTCAGTAAGCTTGAACATTCCCTGGAAATGTCATAGCATATGATTGCATAGCGCATCACGTTGACATGCCACATATCATTGTAAATTCCTATGAATGTCTTGGGGCGGTCGGGTAGCCTAGAGGTTAAGGCGTTCGCTCGTCACGCCGAAGACTCGGGTTCGAATCTCGACATGGGTACAATGTGTGAAGCCCATTTCTGGTGTCCCCCGCCGTGATATTGCTGGAATATTGCCAAAAGCGGCGTAAAACCAAACTCACTCACTCACTCACTCACTATGAATGTCTGTGGTACAATCTCTGGAATTACATAACTAGGCCCATAATGATGAATGTTCTCTTGGTGAAATGTGACTTATATGTAGACGGGCTAGAGTACCTTAGCAACTGATAAGTGTAGACACCTAGAGCTGAAGCTGGTGGTATAAGTAAAGGGCAAATTGATTAATAGAAAATCAAAATCCTTCTTGAGGCTTAAAGTACAGCTGGGTAGTGACGCTGCCATCATAAACTGGCAGTTATAGTATAATCGTGATCACATGTTCTCTCATTTAGGCAGATGATATCACCTGGGCGCCGGGTGTCATATTAACTGCAATGGCTGTCATCACCTTGGTTCTTATTCAAGTGTTGCCGGAGACCAAAGGAAGAGAACTTCCACAGACTCTGGAAGACCTGAAAGGCTGGTACAGAGAGTCGTCATGACATGGACACACAGTCTGTTTTCAATCCATGCCTGTGTACTGATGTTCCGTTACTCATTGTATATTGTACTGACATATAAAAAGTGTTATGAATTAGGAGAGGACCAATTTATTGATAAATATATTCATTTGCGTTTGTATATTTTGACTTGACCTGGTATTGGTTTTGAATTTCTCTTTCATTTTTCACCAACACCAATATTATGATATGACTATACCTGTTCCGCGTCTTTTATTTAACGTCCTTGTAACTTGTACGGCGTCATTAGAGAATGTCATGTATGGGCCAGATTATCGATAAATAATAAACAATAGAAGAGGTCATTACTTTTCTGTTGATCGTTAATGACTTGAGGATATGTTGGCAAACTTCATACAGAACGCTGACCTTGGACACATCATATAAAAAGTGTTATAAATGTAGAAAGGACCATTATATCAATCAAAATATTCATGTGCGTTTGTACATTTTGACTTGACCTGGTGTTGGTTTTGAATTTCTCTTTCATTTTTTACCAACACCAACATAATGATATGACTTGCTGCCCTTTCTCTGCGCACCCAGAGATACATTTTGAGATGAAATGTTTGTTATGTCACACACAAAGCGTATACCTGTTCCACGTCTTTTATTTAACGTCCTTGTAACTTGCACCACGTCATTAGAGAATGTATACAGATAGATATGTTTCTGTGGGTTTTGCACAATACATGCAGAACGATCTCGTATCCTCACTGGAACTAGATATATAGATCAAAATAATCTCAGATCTACGTTTTAAAACAATAAGTCAGTTGTTGGAAAGGGTAAAATGTAACATATCAATTTTATCAGTTCCAAACGCCCCTTTCCCTTGATTATCCAGTGTATTATATTTAGTGTGATAATTAAGCCCAGGCTTATTTTGGAACCACATTAATCCGCGCTGCACGTTGGTCTGTGGTATCGTCTTGTGGCTTTTCTTACAATACTTTATTTCAAGTGTTGTTTGTTTACTGTCTTGAAAGATTATTAATAGAACGGACACAGTACAACTATTTCTTATCGATTTTAACTAAGAAAGTAAGACAAATTTTATTTGCGAAATACACACATATGGCGCACAATGACAACTGTAAACGAAGGGCATTTGTCTTTTCAGCATAATTTGCATTGTCTATGATCATGTAAAGATGAACATTCATATTTTTCATGAGCCTATTCCAATGCTTGTGTTGTAATTGTAATTACATACTTATGTATTCATAAATGTACATGTCATGTATGGGCCAGATTATCGATAAATACTAAATAATAGAAGAGGTCAACTTTTCTGTTGATCGTTAATGACTTGAGGATATGTTGGCAAACTTCATATAGAACGCTGACCTTGGACACATCAGTCCATAATAATTATGTATACACAGTTTGGACAATTTGTTTATTTGTTGTTGCTGCACTCCCACCAGTATGTCCCAGCTATATGAGGGCGGTCTGTAAATAATCTAGTCTGGACCAGACAATTCACCGAGCCTGACCACCGCACCTAGCCCGGAATCCCACTACGGTAATACGGTATGGACATTTCACCCATCCACTGAGACACTTGACGCGATCAAATAATGCAAGCCAGCCTTTCTTCATCACGTACGGTTGTCGGTTCTCCATGACATTCGGCTTGACAAGACTAACGAGAAAGACTATACATAGCACGCATGTTCGTGTCTATACATTTTCCAAAATTAGTTGTGAACGCTGACGTGGTTGTTAATTGATTGTTTGTTTGTTGTTTAACGCCGCACTCAACAATACTCCAGCCATTTGACAGCGGTCTGTAAATAATCGAGCCTGGACCAGACAATCAAGTGATTGACATCATGAGCATCAATCCACGCAATTGGGATACGATGACATACATCAACCTTGTCAGCAAGCCTGACCACCCGATCCCGTCCCTTCTTACGACAAGCACATCGCCTTCTACCCCAAGCATGGGTTGCTGAAGACCTATTCTACCCCGGATCTTCACTGGTCAGATCCAAGATGAAGTAACGAAAGCTTAAAGTTTTCATAAATGATCCTCTTACAAAACTAGCGATGGTCTTCCTTCCGTTGAGAACAAGGAGGAAAAGAACTACAGTGGTTATATAAACACACAATGCCATTTAGAAAGTGGTCAAATGTAACAAATGTTATATTTGGGATAACACTTTCATTGTAAAGTACAGATTCTCGTACTTGTTAGGTTGAGTCCCATCCGGGATTCGAATCATCAGTAGATGTTTCTTCAAAGTCAAATGACTATGCAATATCCTCTTCCCCATTCCCCTCCATAATGAAGTGGTTTACGCCCGACGACCAGCTCGCCAACACAACACCCACAAAGACTGATACAACCAGTCACGTGGGGCGGGAAATCCGTGTTACAGCACACACAGCAAACAATAGCAAATATGGCAACAGAGTAAGCCAATATTTAATGCTGACAGTAATTTAAACCTACCTTGAAGATATTTTATCCTGGTAACACTCTACAAAATGGAATATGACGATATCTGACCCCACAAAAAACAAAGCGCGAGAGCGATGACAACACACGACAACACACGTTTCTCCGTCCCAAACATTCCACGTCCCTTGGTCTTACAAAAGTCATAAAATGCCGGCTTCATTCACAAGTCGAAGTTGCACCCATTAAACCCAGACCTGGTTGATGCTGAACATGGATTAATATGAAGTTTCTGGATGGGTTTGAATCATACTGAGGCTAGATGAGCTGCTGATTACCGCTAGAAGCGGCGCGGCTGAATCTCCCTATGCAATATACACGACAGTGTGAAGTTTAGTGATTTCTTACTGTGAGTAGACCATTCTTTGTTGTAACTTGGAATGGACTCTTCATTTCGGTGACCCGCCATATATACAATCATGAATCTGTCTTATCGTACCGTCAATATTTCATGTAAGTTATAGACATTGCAAAATCCCCCTAAAGTGGTTCTGTATCTTTCTGCTCGATTGACAACACAATCACGCAACACACTGACGTTCATCGAGAAATGAACGCTGGTTAGTTTCATCTAGGCGAGGTCATTCGCTAATGTCAATATAAACAAATGCAAATGAAAATGGTTGACTCGAAAAACAAGACAACATAGGAAATCGCATCGGACATCACTTCTTCAGAATGTATTCGATATGATGCATTATTTGTGACAATTTTCTGTGAGGTATTTAAACATAATATTGACAAATGTCCAAAAGTCAACTTATTTAAATATTACAATTTGGTTCAGAAAACTAAAAATGTGAAAACGTTTGTTCTTCTTTATACATATATTTACTGTTATTCATATGTTTTTTGTCTTTGTCTTCGTAACTATGGGGGGGGGGGGGGGGGGGGGGGGCACGGGTGGCCCAGTCGTCTAAGGCGCCGCGATTCGCTGTGCAGAGTTGCGTCCCTTGGGCACGCCAGAAACCTATGATTGTGGGTTCGAATCCCGGTTCGCTCCGATTATGTTTCTAGGTTTGTCAGCACCATACCCGTGCTCGTGGGTTTCACCGAAGTGGTAAACGTCTTAGACCTGCATCACTTCGGGCTTTCCTCCCACATTAAGCTGACACGCCGTGATATGACTGGAATACTGTTAAAAGCGGCGTTAAACCCAACTCACTCACTCACTCGTAACTATGGTGGTGACATCACCACAAATGGAGTGCAGGTAAGCGAATATACAGGTTACCTGCAGTCACATCAAAAATCAAGTGAGAAGTGAAGTGATGAGAAGTATTAATCATGTATAGCTGAGCTAGTTAATGGCTCAACTGACCTAACCTTCACTCTAGAGTCTTCTTAAAGCGTTTTGAATACATTATTCGGACAGTTCCTTGGGGCTTCTCTCTCATGGAAGGGAATGCAGACACATTTCATCCTGAGTATGATGTTTCAAAAAAACCGTTAAATGTATAGATATATGGTTAAATCTGCAATAATAGAAGATACTAAATAAAGACAAAGAATGTGCCAGTAGTTTTTTATCAGAATGTCTGCGAACAAACATTGCTTCCGTTTCAGACAGGTCTTACCTACATTTTGTCAATTAATTTTCTAATACTAATAGTACATAATACTCAATTCATTTTCGCATTGATGGGGATGTTGTTCGTTACAAATGTTTTTAAATATTTTAACAAGAATTATCATGACAAAAGTTGGGACAGGAGGCAGTGGAATGAAAAGCTGAAAAATAGGTTTACTTCAAGAGAAGCATGATTTATCTCTCGGAACACAAGGCAACATGGTACACATGTTGCAGTTAATACTAGTATATTACCATAAAATGGTTCAAATAATTGAACATTAAGAAGTTGACGCTATTATTAGTGTCATGGTCAGCTGAAACAATGTAAACTTGGTTAACTCGAGTTGTAACTTTATCGGCCCGATATTCTTTCCATGTGCAAATTTGGTGTAATAAATCGGTGAAACATCTCTTTAACCCCCTTCCGGTGCTCAGCACGAAATCCTGTGACAGACTCAATCCAGTGATAAAGAAGATCTTGCAGAGAGCAGTTCAGCTGAAAACATTCAGTGGCGGCGTGATTGATAAACTACTCTTACTCGGTCACATATGTATTGTCACGCAGACATTCGCCACAGGCTTCTTTTTGCAAAGATGCGACGTTAAAGAGGCAACTTCAGTGTTGGACGTCTACATAACATACCGACATCGATTCGACGTTACTCCGGGATGCCAAAAGTACACACTGAAGTCGATCCTCTCCTAGATGCACTGGGGGGGAGAGGGAGGTATCAGTTGCTACAATACTTCGTCAGCAAGATATATGCCTTCTCGGCTGCCTTCCAGCTCCTAAACTTTGTCTATGTGGGTAAGTCGCCTGTGTCTAGTCATGTGGAGTGAAGACGCACTGTTTAGCCTATTCAGTTCGGTGTTGCTTTAAAGTTTTCTTTCTCTTTTAATTCAAAATTAGAGGCCACATGGCCAAGATTACAATTTATAACACAATTCCTGCTGTGGGTGGAGAACTTTTCATCAACAAATATCATAAAGAACATATTTTCATTGATAAATATTTATTTGTAAGTACAAGCCAATACGTTCAATAGGATTAATTGTGTTGAAGACATTAGTTCAGTAAGTTTATGGCGGGCGGGGTGCTTGTGGTAATCTTTCGGGATAAAGTTATTTTACCTTCTGTATAATGAGGGCAAATCAGAAGAAAATGGTACTCATCTTCGATAACCATATAATCACAGTTTTAATATATTTTGGTCTACAGCAACTTTGCTATGGCGCATTTCTTTTTACTTTTAGATTATGAGCAAGAGTACGATATTTGTTAAGAACGTGTGCCAAATCATTTCCTTTCAAAGTTGATGAAAGGTACAGTTATGGAGTAAGCACGTACTTACATGAATTATGATGAGACAGAATTACTAATTTTCTGATACCAGTTTTGCATTCTATTCCAATCATCGTTGTTTAAACATGCAAACAAACTGTTTCATACCACCACAATCTTGGGCAATCCAAACAAAGGCAAAGCCGGTATGAAACAACATAGTCCGAGCATGAGAAACTCAATTTATACCATCGTGATCATCATGTGACTTACACATAGTGTAACAAGCATAGGGATACCTTTTTGGGTGCATACGAATTATTCTACACCAACAGCGTGTACATTTAGTGAAATAGTGAGCACATAAATAATGCCTGGCCACTTCTCCCAGAACGGCATTTGTGGAACAGTATTTGCATATTTTAAGAAATCTTTTGAAATATATATATACTTTGAACCATTTCAATAGATTCTCTGTACAGCAAGAGTTCCACAGGTCTCTGGCCAAGTTAACATTGAAGTAAATATCATTCCTAAATATTTACAGTATTTTAACTGTTATCTCCTTTTCATTATAAAACCATTACTTAACTTTCTTTATGTACCCACCGTTTCGGAAAACAACAATATTTGATTTATCCATATTGACTTTCATGCCCGTTTGTCACAAAATGATCTTACATCTACCACACAGTCTGCAACTAAATTAGTATCATCTGCTAATAACAGAAGTTTAATTGCTTCAATAATTTCACATACAAATACCCAATAAGATTCACTAGCCTCTATGTCTGTGTTTAATTGATTTATGAAGAGGATAAACAGTAACGGACGAAACATACACCCCTGTCGAAGTTGTAAAAATATCTATTCCCAAGTGTTCTACTTTCATACCAGCATGAACATACATGTTTTGAATTACATTAAACATTTTTTTTCATAAAGGCCTTTTTGTAACAGAATATATAACAGTTTCTGTCTATCAATAAAGTCAAAAGCCTCTTGAAGATCAATGAAGACAGCATAAAAACGATGTTTAAGTATTCGCAAGTATTTATGGCAGAATTATCGGTCTTTCAGAATGCAATCCAGCTAAATGGAACAACTCCGTTAATGTCTCTGCAGAAGCATTTACATTTTCATTCACAAGTTCAAGACATTTCTGAGCATGATCAGAGTTAGAATTGTCAGTAAATGTTTGTTTCCCTGCATCTGTTTCAGGTTCAGATTCAATTTATTCAGAATTCCAGGCCATCTGACCCATAATACATTACACATATCTGACATTCATAGGTGCATCTTATTATCTCCTTTCATACAAAGAACTTTGTACAAAAAGTTGACAGCTTAAGCAATTTTTGTTAATTTAAAGATTTGTGCAGCCAATATAGAGTTAGAACCAGCTGTATATTAGCTGCATCATTCCATATGTATCGCGTCATACTAATTTTATTCCCATGTTCTGTCTGTGAAATATCCGATATAACATTATCTCTAAACTGATATCTTAACTGGGATTGTCGCTATATAAGTGCAATAATCTTGGACGCGACGTTTAACCCCATTTCACCTCACCTCACCTTAACTGGGATGGGGAGGTGGCTACTGCCTGTTCTGCCTTTCACAATCATGTCAACCATTGATGGTAAATATTTGATGAGGCAATAAAATAATCAATCAGACTCATTCCAGTTGAACCTATATATATACAGGCTGGGTTTTTTTAAGGGAAGGCTCTCTGAACGGCCAATACATCGAGTTTGTTGCAGTGTGTTGAGACGAATAGCAACCCTGCAGAGTCCTTCATTGGACGAAGTCGGCTGGCCTGAAAAATGAAACCGAAGGCTTTCTGTTCGTTGCTCAGAACCAGTCACTTCCCACTCAAAACCGTCACTGTGTGACACTACATCAAAACGTAAAGATGAAATGTAGGTTATGCATGAATGTAATGAGACTGCCCAACACATTGTCAGTGGACGACAAACAGTATCTTAAGCGACATGATGGCGTGTCTCGATCCTTCTATTACCGTTTTTCCCATCCTTGTGGTTTTGACACAGAGGTCCACCCATGGTACGACCCAGAATATGTAGTGGGCATCATCGAAAATGATAAATACAAAATTCTTTGGAATAGACCGACATACAGCCTCAGACTATCTAGGCCAACAAACCCGACCTTGTCCTTTTTGATAAATCCAATAAAATCTTTATATCATTGAATTTTTTTTCCTTTTTGACACTAATGCGATTGACAAAATTCAAGAATAACATGGCAAATATGCGGACCTCGCTTATGAAATGTCATGCTTGTATCCCAAGAACCAAGTTATCCGACTCTGTTCTCTGTATCTTAGGTTTGTTACCTCCCAATCTGTTGACTGATATTTGGGAAAGTAACCTAGTTTGCTGCCGGGAACAGAGCTCTTCTGACAATCTGACAAAGCTGGGGAGTCTTTGGGGAGTTTTCACATTCTCTGAAAATTAAGTGTGGTTTTACGCCGCTTTAAGCAATATTCAAGCAATATCACGGCGGGGGACACCAGAAATGGGCTTCACACATTGTACCAATGTTGGGGATCGAACCCGCGTCTTCGTCGTGACGAGCGAACGCTTTAACCACTTGGCTACCCGACCGCCCCCCTAATGAGCATGTAATGTTCGTGATTGCATTATAGTATGTATCGCATTAAAAAAACCATACTCACTCACTCACTCACATGCTCATTAGAAAAGAATCAAATTAAATTTATGTAAAAGATTTGCTTTTTCAAGTTTGTACACCACTACCCCACACGACAAAGGAGGAAAATCTTCAGCGACAAAACTCATTCTATAATCATAAGAAATCCACTGCCTCAAATTTGGAAAGCTCATCCACTTGTCTACCATTAATTTTTTTTGAAAGATTTACTAAGGCCTTCAATGCTGTAATCCTCATCAATCGACTTTCTAGTAAGAATCTGACGTTGTCAAATGTAGACACCGAATACTGGAACTACTAGGGCAGTGCTCATCAAGTGTCTCACTGTTCGTCAAGCACGGAACAAATAATAACGCACGATGTACGTTGTTTGTAGCACATATCTTAACTTTCTTACCCTCGCATACAGCAGGTATGCCACAGAGTTGAAGCACCTGTTACATGGAATACAGTGAAATACTACGTACTTGTTATGTCCTCTAACATGATGCAAATATATAACGTCAACGGCAAAGGATGACCAGTATGACCATCATCCGAACATATTCCACTGGGGTCAATAGGCAAAATAGTGAACATTATATTAATGGATCAATTAAAATCAGTGATGACACCAGGCTTCGCAAAAAGAGTAAGCATTTCCTGCCCAACCGGTTGCGGCAAAATCCCTACCAGCACAAGGGCTATGTCATTATGTCATCACGGGGGGGGGGGGGGGGGGGGGGGGGCTCGATATATATTCGGCGGATTCCTGTATGTAACCCATTACTGAAGACGTTGACGCAAGTGCGTGCTCCATGTTACAGCAAGAAGTATTCCCCACACGTGTGGTCAGCCCAGCAACATATCAGACATCTTTACCGCAATTGACGATGACACATTCACCATCAACAACAGCAACATCTACTACGACAAGTGTGGCATCAGAGTCGTGGCCAACATCAGTGGCGACACGGAGACGAAACAGCTGCCATGTTTGTACGGCTATAACTTCGCCGAGAAGAAGGAACTCTCCATCATATCAGATGTGAGTATTGTGATTAAGATGGCCAGTTTAACATATTCCCGTTATCCTATCTTTTGTTTGTTTGTTTTGTTTGTTTGTTGTTTAACGCCGCACTCGGCAATATTACATCTCTATGACGGTGGTCATCATCAGCCTCGATCTACGTAATTGGGATACGATGACATGCATCAACCAAGTCAGCGAGCCTGACACACCCGATCCCATTAGTCGCCTTTTACGACAAGCATAGTCGCCTTTTACGGCAACCATAGGTTGCTGAAGACTTCTAACTTCGTATCTTCACGGGTCAGTTATCCTATCTATAAGAATATATTTGTTCGTGTTCTTATGACAATACCATTACCACAGACATAATGTAGAGTTAGTGAGTATGGTTTTACACCGCTTTTAGCAATATTCCAGCAGCATCACGGCGGGGAACACCAGAAATAGGTTTCAAACAATGTACTCAGTGTGGGGAATCGAACCCGGGTTTTAGGCGTAACGAGCGAACGATTTAACCACCTGCTCCCCCCACCGCCCCTGACATGGTTTAGAAGTATATCAATTACATTTGAATGGACCAAATTGGTTATCCATATATTTGATATTAACTTTGGTCAATGGTTCTTACACATCATCAAGTCATGAACGGAGGTAGCCCTGTGGTTGAAGTGGTATGATCGTGAAACCATTGTATTCACAGATGGAGATAGTGTGTGATCAAGCTCCTCTCAAAGGCCTTGGACAAACCCTGCTGATAGTCGGGCAAGGACTAGGTGCAGCTTTTCTCCCAATATTTTCTGACCGCTTTGGTCGGCGTCCTATCCATCTCCTGTCCCACGTGATTGTCATGGCCCTGGGTGTCGGAGTAGCCTTCTCTCCCAACTTCACAGCCTTCCTTGTGCTCAGACTGATTCTGGGAATGTTCCAACAGGTAAAATATAGTAACAGAACAGAACCTCTCTAGGGAGACCGACTATATGATATTTTCCTAGCAAATGCTTGAAATATATGTTCAATCTTTAAAATGTTGAAAATATTGTCTGCCACAAAAATACATTGTTGCAAGACCTTTTTGTGTAACGTGTTTAGGATAATAGTTTAAATTTTTAATATCTGCTTTTTCAGTCTCTATACACAGTCCCAGCCCAATAACCCAAATATCACCAACACACTGAGAGCTGATGTATGCATTCTAGGGTATAGTTCTGACTGATGCTACCATTGGAATCGAGGTTTTCCCAACAAAACACCGTAAGCTTGTGGCATTCCTGTCCAACATAAGCTGGAGCAGCTGTCACCTATGTCTGCCTCTGGTCGCCTACCTTCTCCGGGACTATTCCTGGAGGATCCTGCAACTAGGCTGCACTTCAGTGTCACTGGTCATCATTCTACAGTTCTTGTAAATATAACACGTCAATGCCAGAGAATAACCAGAAACGAAACTTCCACTGAAGCAATGTGCTTAAGGGGTCTTATAGGATTCATTATCCGGGGTAGAACAGGTCTTCAGCCTCCCATGCTCGCCGTAAAAGGCGACTATGCTTGTCGTAAGAGGCGATTAACGGGATCGGGAAGTCAGGCTCGCTGACTTGGTTGATGCATGTCATCGATCCCAATTGCGTGATATTAATCACTGGATTGTCTGGTCAAGACTCGACTATTTACAGAAAGCCGTCATATAGCTGGGATATTGCTGAGTGCGGCGTTAAACAACAAACCAACCAAATCATTAGTAAAATAAATAGGTTCCAATATTCTTTATTAGGTCTTTAAGTATTTTGTAACTACAGTTGAAACTAGGCTGAGCAGTATATAACAAATAATATTGTATTACCGAACGATAGCGATATGGAACGTTTAGGCCCATTGATTATAGTCCATTCAGAAGCATTTGACCACGTTTGTATGAAAGCATGTTTTGAGTAGGTAAGATCTAACTAACGGAATTTTTGCATTAAAAGTGGATTGAATGCTACATTTTAAATGTGTTTACTTGGAATGATGCAATATGTGGAATATTACGTTAAATATAGTTTCCTCGAGGAATCACTCCGATGGTTGGTAGCCAATGGCAAGCCTAAACAAATCAAGAAACTTTTGAAGAGAGCGGCAAGGATCAGCCAAGTAGACTATCAGCATGTTCTCGATGTTTATGCAAGTCTTAACACTGGTCAGGAAGAAACTCAGAAAGACCAAGGAGGGACCACATCAAAGGAACAAACAGAATCTCTGCTTACTGACCCCGTGGTACAGACAGTTGACGACGAAACACATTCTCTGCTTGACTTCATCAAAGTCAAACGACTGGGTCTGAATGTGGCTGTTCTCTGGTTTATATGGTAATAAATACTTTAATAATAAAATATTTCCAAAAAGTCAAATCAGTTGTCTGGTTGGCACAGAGGCAGAAATAAGGTTAAATTCAATTTTTCAGATATCGTTTTGACAGTGAGTGAGTATTGTTTTTTTGTCGCTTTAGGCAATATTTCAGCAATATCATAACGGGAACACAAGAATACACGTTCCACTTTGAGGAATCAAACCCGTGCTTTCATCGTGACAAGAAAACGTTTTAATCACTCGCCTATCCCACCGCCCCCCGGACTGATGATTCACTGTCCTATGTTTCAGGTTTACTGACAGTATGACCTATTTTGGACTGTACTTCACATCTGATGCCTTGGCTGGAGATAGGTTTGTGAATGTAGTTCTACTGATAGTGGTGACGATGCCGTCCAGTGTTGCCATCTACTACCTCGTCGACAGGTAATACTTCAATAAATACATAAACTAATTAATTAAATAGCAGTTCTGACGCCAGGTGTTCGCTAAAAGATTAGCACCCGCGCCTCAAGAAACTTCAATAAAAAGGAAGTGTTGGTTGCCCAAAACTGCATAGTATGCCGAAATATGTTTGAGAAATTTATTTGTTGTATTCAGGTCTCGATTGTATATGCCTCAACTTGTCGTCGCTATATGGCTGAAATAACGCCGATGCGGCGTTACATTTTAACTCACTCACTCACTCATGCCATACAACAGCGGCCTGTGAACAATCGAGTCTGGACCGGACAATCCAGTGATAGTGAGTCTTGCTATTAAGGTTCGATATATCGTTAGAATATAAAATGATAATAATATCATTGTCATATATCAGAAGGATTCAACTCGATGGTAATGATTGTGTTACAAATTTAAACACTTCCCAAACAGTTAACGTATCGTTAATTAATATTCAATAAGACATCATAGAGATACCTTATGTCATAAGTGTTAGAGGTGAGGTGAGGTGAAATTGGGTTTAACGTCGCGTCCAAGATTATTGCACTTATATAGCGACGTGCATGCACGTGTATGTGTGTGTGGCTGCTTGTACTAGTCCGGACTGATGCCGATTTATAGTGCTAGCTCACTGAGATACCATGCCGCAGTTTAACATGAATACCCCACTCAGACACAGTATACTGACTCCGAGCCAACCAGTCCTTGTTTTAGCCCCTTAATGCCGAGCGCCAGACAGGGTAACAACAAGTACAATCTTTTAACGTCTTTTTGTATGACGCGGCCCGAGATCGAACCCTGGACCTTCCGCTCTCCGGGCGGACGCTCTACCACAAGACCACGGAGGCGGTCCATAAGTGTTAGAATTAGTCCTCAGCAACATTTGCTGGCTGTAAGATGCATCAGATGGATCGGGTGGTCAGGATCGAGTGATTTGGTTGGTAGCGTGTCATCGTACCGGACGGCGTGGATCCTGACTCGCAATATCAATCACTGGAGTGTCTGGCCCAGACTTGATCATTTTCAGGCTTCCGTCATATAGCTGGATTATTGCTAAGTGAAGCTTTAAATCGCCCAATCACTTCAGTTACACAAGTTCTCGATATTGAAATATTGACCCAGACAACACTGTTAAACAGGATTGGGCGAAAGTGGACTTGCATCCTTTTACACCTTACCACTGGGTTTGGATTGGTTGGAGCTACTGTTGTCAGAGAACTCATGGGTAAGTAGACCTACTGCCGCTCCGGTAAGTGAGTGAGTGATTTGGGCGTAAAAACATAATTTCTTACACACCTGTGGGTGAGAAACCCATTCGAGATAACTGGTATCAAACATATGTGTGATATCGAATTCCTGACCCGTGATTGGTTATTCCATAGTGATTTTCTGAGGTCAGATTATAACGGACTACTTCCCTGATTGTAAGTCATTGATAAGTTACTCGTGCGTCAGTCGAAATCACCTCCGTCTGTGCTGAACGTTATGGTTTTAGTGTTACCCACTGGATGCCACAGGCACAGATATGTCCCTCCTTATCAACCCTCACTTCGAAGTCGAATAAAATTCAAAATAAATCATCACACACACACACTTAACACCTTATAGTTTTGAATTCTGTGAGAAATTCCCTGTTTCTTTTATATCCTCCACTGTCATTTTAGGCAAAGCAAAAATACTGAAAGGAACCTCTGAAAATTAGGTACATCGTTAATCTCGTCATTTTTGATACATTACTAAATAACGGCGTTATTTACTGTTCAGAAATCTGAATAGGCCCGTTTCGGATGTTTACTCGAAGAATTCAATTTCAAAAATAGCATTAGTGTTCACGGGTATCTGTTTTTCACCAAATCACCCATGTTAATTCTGACACGTCGCCGACAAGCGTGAGTGTTAGGAACAAACAAGCCAATGTTCTTGGATCTAGTGTACATTATCATCATCGCCTTGATAATCTGCAGATATTGCAGAAACCTTTTTGTGTAGGGTCACATTAGATATGAGTGGTGAGCAGTACTCGGATGACTTCACTCATGACCGTTCTGTTAGGAACTAATGCCCCACTGCGATGATGAGAATAGACAAAATGCATCGATTCTTTGCTTAAGTGATGCGATATTAGTGAGTTGGGTTTAACGCCGCCTTGAACATTATTCCAGTTATATCACGGCGTGTCAGCTTAATGTGGGAGGAAAGCCCGAAGTGATGCAGGTCTCAGACGTTTACCACTTCGGTGAAACCCACGAGCACGGGTATGGTGCTGACAAACCTAGAAACATAATCGGGGCGAACCGGGATTCAAACCCACAATCATAGGTTTCTGGCATGTCCAAGGGACGCAACACTGCACAGAGAATCGCGGCGCCTTAGACGACTGGGCAACCCGTGCCCCCGATGCGATATTGTCGTAACTGCTTTCGGGCGTCCAGTGCGACCCTGCTACAGTTACTAAATGTATTGCCGTTCCTGGTCCTTGTGGTCAATTACGCCCTGACATTGCCCTCGCCTTGTCCGCCACGGCTCGGCTCCGTCAAGGAGTGATTGGTCTAACGACCCTTACTCCAAGTTGTCTCTATCAGCATTCACACCCGCATAAGAAACGCAACACCAGTTTATACTCACATAGTTTTACTTAATCTCAGCCCATCTATCAATACAGAACAGGATCAGACTGGCCAGGCTCGTCACTAGCTGGTGGAAACTTAGAACGATCGGGATTCGACTCGATCGACTGCAAACCGCGCTCTCCTCTCCTAATGTTGAGGGTATCATTTTATAGTGTTCGAGCCTGACCTGTCCTTGTCACATGTCTCAATACCTCCATTTGATTCGTTACAAGTTTAGATCTGACCATGAACTCATGTGTGTCGCCATCGGAAAAATACCAAAAACCTACGTGCCAGATTGCTCATCTCTCTATTGATTTTGTGACTCGCTCCGAAGCTCCAAATGGATTATACCTTGTAATTCCCCATTTGTTTCATTAACTCATGGACAATAGCCAGAGACCAATCCAATGATAAATGTGAAATGTCTTTTCTCTATTGATTCCTTTCCAATTACAAGTTCTGTCACGAACTATATCTAATGGGTTCTATTTATTATCATTAGTTTCTGGGATGCATTTTTAACCTTATAACAATATTAGGGTGTGTTAGAAACAGATTACTGCAGATACCATTTATCTAACAACTCTTTGTTTTAAAACGTATCTTACTCGCTTTCTCTTGTTGTTAACAACTCGTTGTGAGATCAATGGTATCTGACTGACACTCGTGTTGTACTATCTGTGTCTTATCTTCGACCCTAAGTTTGCAGGCCCTGCTTTAACTGTCAGATCGTTAAAATGACATTGTAGTTTATAAGAAATTAAATGATCGCCTGATTGTTCAAAGGCTCTCAACTAAAATGTTGATCCTATCCTTATTGATATAACTGGAATTAAACGATTGACAACAAGTAAAAAGGGCTTCTAGAATTTCATTCCAAAACTAGTTTCAAATTATAATACATTGATCACTAATTAAAATGTACGTGTAGTCACGGCGATCGGGTACTTCAGACTGCTGAATTATTCGCCACTTGTGTTTATGTCAAACAGAACAAATGCACTTACTATACATACTGTCCTTCCAGGCAACACTGGAGCGGGGGCAATCATATCAACTGTTTTTTCCTGTTTCGGCTTCTTCGGAGCATTTGGAGCATTTGGTACACTTTTCTTCTACACCCCGGAAATATTTCCAACCAATATCAGGTACCCTCGTTGTGAAAGATCATGTTTCTTTGCATCATGTTGTATGTCAGCGAATATGTTAATCACATAGGATACACGATGTTGATATAGAATGCATACCGTATGTGAGTTGCTATGTGCCAATCTTAGGGGTACCTACAGCACTCGACAATCCATGTTTCACATTAAAAGCGTGCATGTTGCTCTCAGCACGTCCTCAGAAAGACACATTCTGGCCATATTGCCTTATGGATATGAACAGTCTCTGTTCAGGGGTCGAATCCAAAACCGATGCATGGAACGTTTCTAGACATGTTATTCAATCACTGTGTGTGTTTTGTTGTGCAAATGAATCAATTCTATTTGATGTCAAGCCGCAACATGAGAAGTGCGTTTCTTTGTAACTTAAGTATATTTTATAACAATTGGAAATGACATATTGTGTGTATGTTTATTTCCTTACTTTATGTTTCTTAGGAACGTTGGCTTAGGGACGTCATCTGCATTTTCAAGACTTGGTGGGATGTTAGGACCATTTGCCGGACTACTGGTAGGTCCAGCCTGTCTCAGCTCGTGTTCACAATGGTCGAGTACATATGTTTTGCTCCATTGTAAATAAATGATATAATACCATGGTGAAATTGAGCGAGTGTGTCAGTGAGGGGTTTTTTCTACGCCGCTTTGAACAGTATTCTAGTTATGTCACGGCGTGTTTTTTTATGTTGGAGGAAATCCCGAAGTGATGCAGGTCATAGATGTTACAACTTCCGTGAAACCCATGATAACGGGTATGGTGCTGACAGACCTAGAAACATAATCAATGAGAATCTGAGATTCAAACTCCGATTATAGGTTTCTGGCACGCACGGTGAATTGCAGCGCCTTCAGGCCATTGCTCCGGCCCATGTCCCGATTGTGGAAACAATATGATACAGATTTGCCATACTTCTAAAGGCCTTTCAAAGACTTTATTCAGCTGTAAGTCGCCTGTTCATATTGCAGAGTGAGTATGTGACCTGGGGCCCGGGTGCGGTGTTCACGTGTTGTTGTTTAGCGGCAACCGCCATGATCAATTTGCTCCCGGAGACCAACGGAAAAGAGCTCCCTCAGACAATCAGTGACGTGAAGGCCTGGTACGAGACGAACAACGGCGAACAAAAGATGGACGCAAAAGTGAAGGAGAAGGCGGAACAGAAGACCGAATAACAGGCACTGTCGCAGCATCCGCTCTAACATGCACTGTAGCAGCATCCGCTCATCAGCAAGAAGTGTCCCTCCTTTGCTTTGTTTCGTCTAACAGTTCCTACATGTTAGTTAAAATAAGGAGGTTGTCGTGTTTCGTGACAGAACGTAGTAAATGGATTTCAGTACGCGTCCATCTTCCTCATAAATACACGGGTTGGTGTTATATATAAGAGTTCCAATTCGACTGGGTTAAAGGAACGTGAAAATACTGCTTAAGAAAATTATTATTGTGAATGCTATGTTAGAGCTGTACTTTCTTAGATCAATGTCTAAATTACACCGTACTTACGTACGTATGTTTCTGTCGCTATTTGTTTCGCGGATTGTGTGTGTGTGTGTGTGTGTGTGTGTGTGTGTGTGTGTGTGTGTGTGTGTGTGTGTGTGTGTGTGTGTGTGTGTGTGTGTGTGAGTGTGTGTGTTTCTATTTCAGTTTTTTTTTTGTGTCTGTGTGTGTGTGTTTCTGTCTGTTTTCTGTCTGTGTGAAATTTTATAATCCGTCATGTCCTACGATTACGTGTAATACAATGTTTAAATGTGTATGATTAATGACTACAATGTCCAGCCGTGGTACTGATTTATGGTCAAAAGATGTTACTCTCTATGTTTTCATGTTTCAAAAGAATATAATGAAACATATATAATTACAATTATACTTAATAGTTTTATATTTAGTAACCAACTGATCGCGTCAAACACATCTGTCATATGTAGCGGCCAAATATCCCACATGCACTGGTTTTAACCCCAGGCAATCTGATCAGGCGTCGAGAGCCTTCTGTACACAGGAGCTACAGAACTAATGGGCCTGCTTGCAAGGACGTCATCTGTGGAGTACCTTCACGCCCTGCCAATTGGCTGGTGAAAATACCACTGTTGATTGTATGCATTAATCTACTGGTCTGTACTTCTGAAAAGGAAATGTTTGTTTGAAATATGAGAGGGTGTTTAATTTTAGGGCAGGGCATGGTTACCATTTTCGCTAACACCGGGTGTCATCATTGATTTTCCGAGAGAATAACCAGTCTCGATAATCCGCCAAAACATATTTCATTGGGCGTAAATAGAAAATCAAAACAATGTTAGAACACAATGTTAAAATATCTCTGAATTTTAGAATGTAAGAATTTTATCATAATTGTTTTCTTCAACAGTATCTGCCTAGGACACTGTGATTAACAATCAGGCCAACCGGTACGGTGCCACGCACCACAATGGCTGACTGTGTGGGATAATAATTGATAATAATTGCCAATTTTGCCAGTTTTAGTTTTGTCTTCTCCACGCAGGAAAAAACGTCACAGTCGATTTGGCCTTGTAACATGTGACGACTAATATCAAGGTCAGATAACTCTCCTTGCTTGTCGCTGATATCCAGCGGGAGGTCCAAGTGTTGCTGGTCAACGTGTTTTCATGCATGGTTTTAAACCATTATAACAAATCCCAACATGGAAGCTATGAGTATTGACTTGGAATTGCTTTGTATCGTAACGGTGGGTAGACTGATGTTGGGCTCATCGGCGGTAACAGTTGAAAACATCCATCTGTCTTTGTCAAACATGCCAAACCCGAGATACAACAGCACTGCCAGAAAACAACAGCTTGAATTTGAGCGACTTAGACAGCGATCGGATTCAAGGCAGTATTCGCAATTACACTCAAACGTGGGCATTTCCGTGTGTGTGCATATCTGTTCATGTAAACTCTATGTACAGGCAGGGAACGACCTACAGGATTGAAACTTGACACCAAATCTGTGTGATATGCTCGTTTGTGTGATCAGATCAGGTGATAAGTTCAGATATAATACAGACGCATATCCTAGGATTTATGAGGGTCGTTTGGCTAGCCTAGTGGTTAAAGCGTTCGCTGGCCACGCTGAAGAGCCGGGTTCGACATGGGTACAATTTGTGAAGCCCATTTCTGGTGTCCCCCGCCGTGATGTTGCTGGAATATTGCTAAAAGCGGCGTAAAAACAAATTCACTCACTCCTCGAATTTATGACTTAATCTGATGGACGAATGTAATATTGACAACAGACCAGCATTGAGTATAAAAGTGAAATTCAATGTCAACTGTGATCATCCCGTATGGAAACTGAACTGCACCGAGTTTCCTCAGTCTGTGTCCCGTCAATGTGTGTGTGTGAGTGAGTGAGTTGGGTTTAATGCAGCTTTAAACATTATTCAAGTTATATCATGGCGTATCAGCTTAATGTGGGAGGAAAATCGGAAGTGATGCAGACCTCTGATGTTTACCACTTTGGGATTCATCCTTCCAGGATTCCAACCAACGAACATTCTTCATTCAAAGACTTGCTACGACTTGGTTTGCAACGGGATCTTACAGGTGTTGGTCAATACACGTGCTGTTTTCGAGTGCGGCTATTTAAATGGCATATCAGTCTGAAGAGCATTTGTTCTTTTCTTCTGAAAGTTTTTATTTATACTGTAATATGTTGCGAAAGCAATAACATATGTGCACGTGTTATGATGCATTAATGTAGGCCTACTATATCTAAATATACAATACGATTTTGATTCTGAACTGGCATATCTACTCGAATTCTACCAATAGATTTCAACAGAATGAAATCATGCCTTTGTCCCTTAAAAGACTCCGAACCTTCTAGTTTGTCTGTATCCGATGTAGAAAAACACAGATTGCCTGATATGTCTCCAGAAATCAAGCTTAAAATGGGCTTGAAATGGTTTAAGGGAATGCACTATCTTAGAAGTCCGTACCTTCAGACACATTGTAAAACCCGTGAAGATCTGGGTTAGAATGGGTCTTCAGCAACCCATATATGCCGTAACTGGCGACTATGCTTGTCGTAAGAAGTGACCAACGGGATCGGGTGGTCAGGCTCGCTGACTTGATCGATGCATGTCATCGAATCACAATTACGTGGATCGGTGCTCATGATGTCAATCACTGGATTGTCTGGTCCAGACTCGATTATTTACAGACCGCCGTCATATAGCTGGAATATTGCTGAGTGCGGCGTTAAACAACAAAGAAACAAAGAAACAAAATCCACCTAGTGGCCGGATTCATTCCCTTGGGCAACACCCACTCAAATAAAATATAAATATACAGAAACCAATTTACACATAAACATTCACGGAAAGGATTTGATACACTGAAGGGCAAAAGAAAGTATATCGAGTTTTATTTAATGAAAATTAAAAGAACTGTTGTTAATTCTGATTATGTCTGTTTAACCATCACACATTCCTGCAACAGTTTATAAAAGTAATGTGGGGCTGAGTAATGTTGTTTAAAATTACATTGGATCGATGAAGACTGGGGAAAGAAATGTTTTTGCAACCACGTGACTCACGTCATGTGTGAAATGTAAATTTGTGTCGAAAAAAAGCAAATATATTTATTTTCAAAGACAACATGTCCATCAGCAGTTGTGTTTTATACGGGGGCAGGGGGTGGGGGGATAAAAAGCTTAAATCAAATTATATCTTAAGAAATGAACAGCATCCTTTGAGTACAGACTGAACGACGGTACAGTTTAATATACTGAACAACAAAAGTTCCTGTGACATTGAATAAGATTTAATGTTATGTTTTTTTACCAAATCTGAAACAATTTCGGTTTGCAACAGATAAAAGACTCCTGTAAGTGTTCAAATGGTTTCATTTGCCATACTGTCTTCAGAAAATGCGTGATTTCATAAAAAAACATGAACATGCCAAAATGTCAATTTACAATCAATAGCGTGTGTGTCCACCTCTGGTTGCGATGCAAGCAACACATTTTCGTCTCATGGAATGGACCAGGCGTCGCACAAAGTCCTGTGGGATATCCGTCCATATCTGCTGGAGCATGTTTTGAAGTTCCTGAAGTGTCTGTGGAACACCTGGTTGACGTCGAAGGCGCCGATCCATCTCATCCCACGTGTGCTCGATTGGTGAGAGATCAGGGGAGCGAGCCGGCCAGGGGATGACATTCACGTTGTTTTGTTGAAGAGAATCCTGAACAAGTCGAGCAATATGAGGCCGGGCGTTGTCATGTTGAAAGGTAATGCCTGGGCCATGACGACGCAAAAACGGTAGAACAACAGGGCCGATGATCTCGACGTCGGTTCACTCGAATCCGTCCATTGCTGTGGCTGAGGTGAAAACGAGACTCGTCAGTGAATAGAACTTGTCCCCACTGCAAATACCCCAGCGAAGACGCTATCTGCACCACTGTAGACGTGCTTGACGGTGGTTTCCTGTCAAAATGGGACGTCTGGCGGGTCTTCTGGCGATAATCCATGCACATCTGAGGCGGCGACGTACGGTTTGTGAAGATATTCGTCGAAGGCCAGGGATGCTTCTTGCAGTCACTGTTGCTGGATGGAATCGATTTCGTAGGTGTGTTGTTAGAATCCAGTTGTCTTGTCGATTATTAGTTACGCGTGGCCTGCCACTCTGAGGATGGTCTCTGACTGCATTCGTCTGGTGCTAACGTTGCAATAAACACCAAATGGTGTTTCTGTGTACGTTAAATTGGGTTGCAACATCATGTTGACTCGATCCTGCTTCAAGCATACCAATGGCTCGCAGACGCTCATTTTCGGACAGGCGTGGCATCTCGTAATGTTGAATAATTGCGTAATTTTGTTGGGTTTTTTTGAGTGGTTGTTGTCAGTACGATGCTAAACAATGCATATGGAATCCCGTTAACGCACATGTTTTTATACCCATTCTTGGGTAGTGAAATGCATGGGGTTTGCATAAAAGTCAACTCTTGCATGGAATGCATGCTTTTCTGTAGCAGTTGCGTTTTTGTGACTTGATTCCATACATGTTCAACAACATTGAAAACCAAACTTTACTTGTTTGAAAAATACACTAAATTATTGCTGTCACAGGAACTTTTGTTGTTGAGTATATTTTCAATTGAAAATCAAACATAAATCAACTGAGGGGTGTGGTTTCTTTTGCCCCTCTCTTAGTTATCAGTTGCAAGATACTAATAATGTTGACTGAACCATAAGTCGTTACTTCAATCATACCGCGAAACAATATGCTAAAACCTTCGAAATATACGGAACCTTAAAAAATGTTTCTGAGTAAACTCAATGGCAATGTAAAGAATTAATTATCGAAAACAGTATTACAGTATAGTGTGACAGTGTTACAGTATTTTTGCCATTTAGATAGCAATTTCCGGAAATCTTAAACGTTTCCATAAACAGTATTTAGTATTTCCTTTCCGCTTGTCGTAATATTACCGACTGCGGCGTAAAATAACGAACAATAAAACTTTAGAAATGTATCAATTTAAAGGCGTTATTCTTATTTCGTTCATATTTTCTCTTCGATATACTTGCTTGAAAATAATAACAAACTGACAAAGGACTTAGATAGCGGTACTTTGTATTAAACAGAAAGTATTTTTTACGCCCATTCACAGATCGACCGCCTCCGTGGCCTCGTGGTAGAGCGTCCGGGAGGAGAGCGGAAGATTGGGGCTTCGATCCCCGGCCGCGTCATACCAAATACGTTTAAAGATGGTACTTGTTGTTACCCTGTCTGATGCTCGGCATGAACGGGCTAACACAAGGATTGGTCGGCACGGAGTCCGTATACTGTGTCTGAGTGGGGTTTCCATGTTAAACTGCGGCATGGTATCTCAGTGGACTAGCACTATAAAATCGGCATTAGTCCGGACTAGTACTAGCAGCAACACACACACACACACACACACACGTGCATGCACGTCGCTATAAAGGTGCAACAATCTAGAGCGCGACGTTAATCCCTATTTCACCTCACCCCATTCAGAGATCAAACACACGAAAACCACTGTAACTGTATCGGGCGAGAGCAAACTAAGGTAACCGCACATAAAATCACAGTATTAACGTTTCTCCTAATCCCTGTTGTCATATGCTCGCGTTATGTTTCCATTGGCGCCATTGATGCACGCCATACCGTATTCGATGGGTTTGGCGGGGTTTGGGCTTATGGCTATGCCTGTTACCAGATGATGGCGCTTGGTTTTTTTCACAGATTTTTTTATTTCTACGTCAATACTAACACAGACATCAAATTACTTTGACAGATGTTAACACTGTTCTTGGAACGTTACCAAAGCAGGATGTTGTGTTTGGGAGGGTGGGCTTGTGGTAAGGAAAATGAAAATGAAATGAGATTGACACAGTTAAAAAGGTGGGTGTAATAGATTCAAGCATGGTGGGTTCAAAGAATGTTTACTACGTCATCAAATTAGGTACATGTGTGTAACGT